TTGAAACTACATGGTTATATTTGTTCCATCACATAATTGTTAGAAAATATATGACTTTTTCAAATTATAGCCAAACAACAAGAAAGCATAGACCTCTTGCAACTAATTGACACCTTTTACACGACTTCTGCTTTTAGAGTGTGAAATTGCAACCTTGATGGGGTTGTAAAGCGACTTGGTTGGGCGACTTTCCTCCACGTTATATTGGCCCAGCGTCCTTTTGGGGACTCGTGGTTTATGAACAGGATAACATGAAGGAAATGAAGGAAGTGAACTGAGTGGGGTCACTGCGCAGGAAAAAGCAGACAAACTGAAACTGCTGTTGCTTTTTTTATTCCAACTGTCTGATGTGTATGTATTTCTATAGTTTATTAATGCCGCATATGTAATAGATACAAATAAATATAATCAAATTAGTTAATATCAATCAGCATTACAGTGTATCTTACATAGTTATATGATTATGATGCCAAATGTTTTATGTATGAACAGCGGATTTGAAATACATTTTTGTTTTTTTGTTTTTTTCCAGGAACATTCCAATAATCTGATTTAGTCGTAAACAAATAAAACTATCGTTACCATTTGAGTAGAAACTTTCTCTCTCTTAACACTTTATAAAGTAGATTTATGGCGCTCTTTCTCAGTCTGCGTTCCCCTTATTTCATGGTTCAGTGGCCTCACAAGGCAAAGCGAGGGGAGGTTTTCGCTCTCCGCTCATTGGTCGCCTCTTTCTCATCGCTGTAACATTTCCATTCATACAGTCGACTGTGCTCCTTTTCGCTCCTTCCAAAATTACTCACTGTCATCATCATCTTCATCATCGTCTGAAACGGCTCTGGCTGCACGGGACTAATTAACCCTGGATCTGAGGAGGAGCCGCGCGTAAAGGAGCGAGTGGGATCAAACGAGCCGTGCGTAACGACAGGTGAGTGACGTGATGCGACGCGTATGTCTGCGCTGCTCGTGCACAGAGCTGGTGCCCTATAACCCAATGCTTGTTTCGCGAGTTCACCCATTGAGTTACACTTATAATCATGCTGTTTTGGAAATGTTGAGGTTGCATGTAGAGTAGAATCCAATATGCCCAAGTAATGCACACTTGTTGCTTGGCCTATATGTGTTACGTTAGGCTGCAGTTCCCTTCTCTGAAAACACGAAATTGCTCTTCAGAAATCAATTGGCTCTTATGATGGATAACCGCGAGGTATAGGACGCTTAAAATGTAACACAAGAGGGGTCCCGGCCCACTGGGCTGTCTCCAAGGAAGGTTTACGCCGTTATTCACCAGTCCACCTCCTAATTGGCTGCAGATGCGTGTCCCATACTTTGCTTTATACCGTGTAGAAATTGGAGGCATTGAGGGAACTTTATGGAGCGAGCCCTGCATTCGCCTGCGGGGATGGGATGGCATGTCAGTGCCACGTTGGGCTCCTGTATTTGCATTATGTCTTGAACCCATTGAGACATGATTATGATAGAATCCATAAAGGCTTCCTCTGTTTTGCGTTTTAATCTAATAGTATGGCATAGCATTGCTTGGAAATATAACATATCATGTGTTTGCATATTTTCAAAACAATGTTTGTGATTTTTTTTTGTCATTTCCAAAATCCCGTCATACTTTGTCGTTCGCCAGTGCTTTGCGTGATGGCACATGCCACAGCCTCCTTAATAATTGCTCAGAGAGGGAAGGGCTAAAGACACCGTCCTCTAAGTGCCCTTTCACCCGAGACTTTGTAAGCTGCACTTATTAAAGCGAAAAGTGTTTCAATATGTGGTGCGCTTTAGGGGAAACGTGATGGGGGTTGGGAATGGGATGGGGCCCTTATCTTTTCGGTGCTGTTACCAAACTCAGGATTTGGACCAGATTCGACCGAACAGCAACTCATTGTTCATAAATAACAGGCTACAGTCGTGATTGAATTTACAGTTATTGTCAACGTGATCATGATTATTGACATTTTGAGACCCTGAAAAGTTATTTTCAATGTGTTAATGTTCTATTTTCATGATTCTTCAGGTCCGATTGGTGACACCTCCAACATGTTTCAGACTGTCCCTGACACGTCGTCTTTTGTCAAGGTAAAGACATCGCCTTCATCTCATAATGAACCACAATTGTGGACATTTGCAGTGGACTTTGGGAATTTATTTTATCAACTAAAACATATTTTTGTGTGTGAAGGCCTTAGCTGAGCCATTCATGCCAGAGAGATGTCATCAAAATGCAGGATTGTGGTTGTTTGTGATTTTGCAGTAGGAGCCATAGAAAGTTGACTATAAAGAGCTGACGTCACAGACTGCTCTTGTGCCTCTCAGCAGCGCATCTGTTCCTCACATCTGATGAGTTTGCACGTGTCGTTCAAGTGCATGTTTAAAGCGCTGTGTGCTGCTATTTGTGTTTCATTATATTCTAGTATTGTTCTCTAAAGAGTTAAGATGACCTGTATGGACACAGATAACGGGCTAATGTTTTGAAAAGCCATTTCCTCTTTCAATAAAGGCCTCCTTCACCTAGGCAGGAACTTGGCGCGTCAAGACAAGAACAATTGCTGTTTTGTCCTAAATGTTTTACTTCAAAATATCAATTTGAAATGAAATCCAGATAAGCCAGGTCTTAGTTCAGTAATCAATTTAGTCAAAAGCTTGGCTTCTGTGCGTTTTATGAATACTATCTTACACCATATCCTTTGGAAAATGTTTGTTTCAAGGCTTGTCAATGTTTTCACAGATGCCAATACAATTGCACCAATGTAGCAGCCACGCGTAATGCACTGTGTGGCACGCTCCGAGACAGAACGCACAAAGGATAGTCCTCATTCAGACGGATCTATGGCCCAGCATTTGGTTGTGTTTGGTTAAGGCCAGGCGAGACTGCAACGCTCCAATAAAAATATATCTTAAATTAATTTTGGCCTAGAGCGACGGCCAGACAGTTCTAGCTAAGCACATACAGACTCAACCCGGTCCTTTACTGCATGGAAGCATTAGAATAGTTATGGTAAATAATTAAGACAACGAAAATATATATGCAACACCATTAACCATAATAATAATATTAGTATTATTATTAATAATAATAATGATAATAATAATTATTATTATTTAGTGGAAGTGAAAAAATAAATAATAGATTAAGCCTGAACATATTTCCATATCTTCTGCTCTTAAACACAGGCCTGTCGGAGCACCTCCCTGTCCCATTTTACAAAATTATCCTCATTTCTTGAAGAGCACCTGACTATGCGGAGCATCAGATATTCGAATAAATAGCCCGCAACGAAACAACAGGTTTAATGACACTATGATAATGGTTCTTATTCACTTTTTGAGAGATAATAGAGATGACGACTGGTCCTTACTGGACATAATGCTCGCACCTCAGGCCTGCAGCCGCTGAACTGCTGCTGCTGCTGCTGCTGCTGGCTCGTGGTGAAACGCACACATGATGCTGATGTCTATAGTGCTGCATGCGTCAAGCCAGATGTTTTGTGGTTCACTGTGTAAACCAACCAACATCTGTTTATTGGACTTCCAAAATGTTTGCTTCCAAACTGTATTCATTATAGACTAAGTGAGACCTGGACCATAGCTCTTCATTTTTGTACAGGGCTAAATGGGAGATAGAGATAGAATACATTATAGCCTTTGCTTTCTTGATGTATATTTCTGGAACTAACGAAATGAAAGTGCCAGTGCAGAAAAATTCAGACATTGGAATGTATAGAAAAACAAAAGTGCACAAAGCAGCCAGTAAAGAGTTAAACAAGGTGTCTCCCTTAATTACACGAGGCTGAACTGGCCTCAGGCAGGAGAAGCCTTGACCCATAGCAGGATCCAGATGTGACGGTCCCAAGGGTGGGGGCCCGCAGCCCGAGCAGACCCCCAAGTTGAGAGCAGACAGAACGACCCCGCTGTCAGGCGCTGCTGCGCACTGCAGACTCTCCCCTGGGCTTAATGCTCAGAGAGTATAACGGACTTCCACGTTTCACATAATGAACTAGAAAAACAAGTTGAAGTTTCATAATGGGCTTTATTTCCCCAAATATATGAGGCTATTTCTGTGCTCCGGGCTTTTATAAACGTTTGTTTCGTCTGCCATTAGCACCCGTCACGCATCTGCCCGGACCTTTTGCTAGAATTGATGAGGGCAATTTCATAGTTTAGGGAGAAAGAAAAGGGGTTGAGCCACATGTTATCCTCCAACAAACAGTCAGAAAAGTAAGTTTTAGTTGTGTATATTTTTTGAATCTTAAAGGATTTTCATATTGTCTGTAAGAACATGATTGGTTTGGGGATGATGAATGTTATCTTAGGAGTGTAAAATGTGTAACATTCACCTCTAAGTTAATAATAGATCATTTATCCAAAAACGCATTATTTTAGTTATATGCATGCATTTGACTGAAAGTCCACAACAAAATACAAATCAATATGTTCTTGAACAGCCCAAAACCACAACAGTGATCGTCTCGAAGGAGCTTTCAAAATTGATGATTTGTCAATAACAAGTTAGAAAATCAAACAATTAAACAGTCATTGGTAGAACAAAAGACAGACTGATTGATACATGCTGTTTGAAAAAATATATATACATATATATACATATAGTGCATTCTGAATAATAATTCCTTAACACCATCTGCGCCTGTACTGAGAAAGCAAAACACCCTTCTGAAACGGTCCTCATGTCTGAGGAGCGCAGGCAGCCATCCTGTAAATATTTCCGAGGAGAAAAACATAACAGCAGAGCGAACACTCAATTGTTTTCCCTGCTTATCTCCCTGGGACAGTATCCTGCTTTTTGAAGGCAGGGCTTTCAGTGACACACAGCTTCCTTCTCAACAGCGCTGACTTCACTTCCCAAATTTAGAGGAAAGAAAAAAGCCAATCCGGTAAAAGTGTCTTTCTGTGCGCGCCGCATACCGGAGGCTGGAATTAATTCAGGAGCGTGTCATGTTTGGGATATTGTCCTGCTCCGCTCAAATTTGCGCAAAATGGACGGAACTATTAAGGTAAGGGTGGAGAGCGGGGTGTATGAGTTTGTGGGGAGACAACTTTTTCGTAGTTGCGCCTCCTTTTTGAAGCAATGGGTTGATTTGCTCCCGTGTTGGCGGTGAGGAGAGGACCGCAGATCTGACTCCAGTGCGCGGCATTTTTTTGGTTTGAGTCTCTCTGGAGCTCTCACACCATACTGTCGCCTTTTCGGGTGCCTTTTTCTCTCTCCACACTTCCCTTCCCGCGCTCGAATGGACACTTGTGGATTCTAAACGGGATTTCGGGATTTCGCATCCTTTAACTTTTTACGCAGGGATTGCAAAAGCGTGGAGGGATTGTCTGAGGCGCCATGCGTTGCTGTGCGCGTTCGTAAAGGTGTAAGTAAAGACGTATAAGCTGTAGTTGAACGCTTCTCTTATTTTGGTAAAGTCTGGGCAGCTGGAGTTGAGCAACAAGCGTGAGTGGATGTACTGCTGGATGAGACAAGCAGAGCAGTACGCAAGAGAGAGTGGCGTGGCTCGATGCCCGGCTCTCTCTCAGACAACGCAGAGGTTAGAACAGGGTTTAATTCATCACTATTGATTTCATTACGCCTCTGATCACATTCTACAGCGAGTCGTTTTCAAAGTGAAGCCAATATTTCGTAAACGTTGCATCAGTTCAACCGCACGACTGCACAATGTGATACGTCCTTCTGAAAGTTTCCTCAACTGTTTTGAAACGTTTACAGTCAGTATTACCGTGGCCACTGCTTGTGTGTGTCTATATTCATTCTGCAGACGCATTATGGCCAGATGTTAAAGTTGCAAATGTGCCCAAAGCTGACGTTTCAAACGCGTCCGTCACGTCCCGTCCCCACGAATGCCGCATCTGCATTTACCCCCGCGGATGCTGGAGAGCAATGCAGCGTGTTTTCTTTTGAGACTTAAAGTAGCGGGTTTGTGGCGGCTGGGTGTGGTGTGAGTTTTGGAAGAGTGTAAACGTTGGCCAGACAAATATGTGGAGCTGTATATAGAGAGATGTGTTTTAAAAGCTGCCACTCAGCCCTGTGCGGGTTCGTGTTGTGATGGATGGCATGCAGCAGAGTCTTTGCATTTGTTACACAGTTGAATGTAATCATAATTGAGTCTTTTGGTGTGGATGACTGGCCGCTGTGACTGAATTCACATGCTCCAAAAGAAAGGAAGGGCTCTCTAACCATGAGAATTTCCTGTTCTACACAATCTTTTCCTGACAGGTTTCCTTTTCCTCCTAAAACAAAGGACAGGAATGCCCCCCTCCCCTGTGGCTCCTGGCTGTGCAGTGTGTGATGGTCAAACAGACGCACGTGCAGTCTGGATGCTGCGCACTACATCCAGCCGTGCGTCGTGACGCATTTGGATAGATGAGACATGTAAACAGAACCCAGTAGCTCCCAGCAGGTGTCACACTCACACAATGGCGTTGTACTGTGTCCTGTAGTTGGCATTGCAGGCACTTATATGTAATATACAATCATAGTGACAAAGTGTGTTGTCTCAGCATGTGTGTGTTTAGTTTCTTGCACTTATCTGAACATTTGGAGTCTTCACTGCTTACCACTTGCCAATCAAGGCTCCAAATGTGCAACCAGATATGTCAGTGTAACAGTCAGAATAGTGGAGTGAGCCCTTATCCGCTCACTGCGAGACGTTCCCTCACTCTTCCACATGTTATCGTCTCCAGACGTGGTGCTGTGTTCCACCTCGATAGGGACTTCTTCCACCAGGGAGATACAGATGATCGCCAAGTCACCAGACAGCTATTTTTGGTGTAATACCTTATCCAAATGTACCTGGGTCCCTAAAACTCATTCAGCTTCTAGACTTTTCATAGTTAGGTCATTATTTGTTATGTTTCTGTGTCTTGTGGTGTCCTTGTGTTGTCTCTTGTATGGACCTTGAGTCCGGAATAAAGATGATATATTATGGGAATAATACGATTAAACTCATAATTAAGACTGCGCAAAAGTAACCTATTACATGTGAAATATTAGTTGTTTACTGTTAATGGTATTTCTTTCATTATACCGACTGATATACCTTTTTTTATTGAGAAAGCAGACAGCTCTTTTTGGTTGCATGACAAGTCTTTCAAAGGAATGGCCCTGCAGGAGAAGGCAGATCAGGAGGATTTGAAGTAAAGAATATATAATAAGTCTAAAGAATGGAAAAGACTTGCTTGAAATATTGATCGGTGAATGTCAAGTAGTCTTTCGCCTGAAGGGGAAATGTGGCATTTCGGATTGAAATAATTCAGTCTTGTGGGATTAGAAAGCTCTCAGTCTGAGCTGTGCCATATGATCCTATCACATCCAGATGTCAGCAGACTCACATCTAATCTGGCACACAAACATGACAGCAATCATTTCACTTAATATTAAAACATATTGTTTTTATTTTCTTATGTTTCTTCAATGAATAAGTTCCCTGTCTGTTACAGTAGAGTGGAAACATTTTTGAGCTAAAAAAAAAAATCTGCTGAAAGTCCCCTTTCACAAATAAAGCTCAGCATTTTTAGTCAAAGTCTGTGATGAGCCAAGGACATTTTTTATTATTTCTGCAGACGACAGAGAATCCTTATTCAGGATACATACAGTATAAAGCAATAAATACATAGGATTATGGCAGTTGAGTGTTTAAGAGGTTTCTATGTTCAGCTGCGAGATGGGAAATTCCAGTAATCTTAATTTATACTTCAACAAAGTCACACGTTGGCTCTTTTTTTCCTTTTTTATGTCTAAATGTTGTAAATATACCAGAAAACGCTTTGCACAAGGTTTTCTCTTAATGTTTTCTCAAATGTTTACGATAAGGGACATGAGCGTGCCTGTGCTCTCTATAGAGGCAGTTAGCTCTGCAGGCCGAGTTTGGAGCTGTCGTGTTTGTTTTCTTTAATAAAGTTACATTACTCGCGCCGGGACAAAGCAGGAGAGAGAGACTGACCTGTGGGCTTCTGTTGAGTCTGACGCTGAGATCAGGGAAAGCCCCAGGCCCAGACATAACAGCCACGTCACAGGCTGGACACTCGTGGTCATTGCATTCATTCTCTCTCAGAACCTCTCTGTCAGAAGCTCTATGAGAAAATATAAGCTGTTAAAGCTGGAGTACCAAACTATTTTCTTTGCTCCATAAAGAGTCTTGTTTAAGCAACGGGGGTGAATCAGACCACAACATGCTGTCTTTATCATATTAGAAAACATTATTTATTTAACTTTATGAGAGCTGATTGGCTGAGTGAGGGCTGGTCCTCTCTTTCTCACCGGTCTAAAGATGTGACAGAGGCCAAGAATACATTTGTGTGAAGACCACTGATAGAATCAAACTGTTTTAGAGCTAGGAACTATTTACGCATATGGATTTTAATACATAGTTTCATGGTTTAAAGTTTGAAAATTAGGTGCGCCAGCTTTAATTTTGAGTCTAAAACCATGATTAGCACTATACATGCCTTGAGACGATTGGAGAAAATGATGGGACAAAACTTTTCAAACCCATCTCATTTATAAAACAAAGTTGACTGAAGAATGTTGAGAATTGGCTCAAACATTTCAATCAAAAGTAATGAATATTTTGAGAAGCTGCAATGTGATACCATTAAATCTTGTCTTAATAACACAGGGAAACTAGTAATAACGATCAACTATCAAGAAATAATACGTTCAGAAATGCATTTCACTTTGCAGAAAAAATTAGAAATAAATCACACAAATTATCAATGTGTGGATGACTCTGACAAAGTGTTTTTGTTTTTACAGTCAGCTGACATTTTTAACACAAATAACACTGCAACTTTTGGTTTTATACTTGTTCTTCTGATATAGTTGAATATTCAAAGTTGTTCAGGAAAATACCAATTTCTGAATTAAGTTTTCTTTTCCATGTTGATTTTTGCTCATATTCTAGTAAGGATTAACATTTAATTTATAATACTTCTGAAAGCTCCGATAACCGCACATTTTGTAAGATATTATGTAAATTTGAAAACCTGGTTTGCAACCTCTGGCTCTGAGTCCTTTAGAATCAACAGGAAACCCCAGTTGTAATGTGGTTTGTATACACAGAGATCTATTTAGGATGGCAGCACTGATATGAGCTGTAAGTGCACATCATTATCCCAAACAAAAATATACTAAAGTAAATTCAGACATCACAAGATTTAGCTTGGATTACTCAAATGCAATATGGATTAAGGACTGAAAATGCAAAACATTACACTGGCATAATGTTGGTTTTGGCATCACTCAACTCTACCTGTTGCAGTGAAAGTAAATGTGTTAAATGTCCTTGAAATTGTGAGGTTGAAAAAAAGAAATAATTGTTAAAGATGGGGTACTTCACTTTCAAATGACAAAAAGGAAACTAATAAAATCCATGTAACTAATTTTTCACTCTCAAAACAGTTTTCTCATGCATGGATTTTAGGCATCTCTCACATCTGTAGATCAACTTTTTCAAACAGATTTTGTTTTGTATACTTTCTTACAAGTATGGGAAAAACATAAACATAAATTATATCCTAATACGTGGTAGACAGCATATGGCTTGTCTGATTTGTTCACGGCATTTTACGTTTGCTATCTTTCTGTTTGGCCAAAAATATTGTGATACAGTCAGATAACCCAGCTTTAATTGTGAACCAAAAATGTGTCAAATACCCGTACAATTACGAGTCTGTGAAATGCATGATTAATAATGCTGGGATGCGTGTGGTTGGTTCTCAGGAGGCGTTATCAGTGGTGAGTGAAGACCAGTCCTTGTTCGAGCCTCCGTACGCTGCTGCTGCCCCCCTCCCCAAAACAGACATGACCGCATCTGGAGCACAGGACTTCGGTCAGACTCACAAGATCCACTCCATCCCACCACAGCAGGAGTGGATCAACCAGCCAGTCCGGGTCAACGTCAAGCGCGAATACGAGCACATGAACGGCTCCAGGTAATGTCTCCTCTGTAATTGTTTTTCTAATCTCTAATATGTGTATCTCATAAAAAAAGGCACTCTATAGCAGTAATGCGGTCACAATGGGTCAAACTGGGAAAGGAAAGGCATACTGTTGCTTTACACTGATGTAGTAGAAGTAGCAGTAGTGGTAGAAGTAAAAGTAGTAGCGCTAGTAGTAGTAGAAGTAGTAGTGGTAGTGGTAGTAGTAGTAGTGGTAGTAGTAGAAGTAGTAGTAGTGTTCGCTCTTTTTCTCTTACTTAGACATATGACGCAAAATATTATTAACCAAAGACCCTTTTGCCACAACTTAGACAACAACAAACAAAGTAAACAAATCCTTCAACCTGTTTTACATTCAAGATCAAGTAAAACATGTAAATATGTACATATGTGTAGTCAATTTAATTAATCTGATTTTATTTTTTTCCGTTCCAGTTCCCTATAGCTGCTTATAGCATTACAATTGAACCTTATCGAAACCCTTTACTAATGCGGCTTTTTAATAACATGACATGCAGACCTTTCCATAAATCCCCCCTCTCACTAAGATACGTCTACATTTTGCGCTTGTCCTTGCTACATTTTTACGATTTCCGATTAGTTGTTAACCTCTTTTTTAAATGTGATACATGCGCTTTAGTAACGCCGATAACAACATCTTTGTAGACTGGCCGAAGGTTTGTTATTTTGTATTCATAGCAAAAAATGGGTAAATTACCTTGATCATTGTCATTGGAGTATCGGCTCATGGTTTGCCCAAACTTTGATCCGTGAATACTTTGTCTAATTAATCCATCAAAATGAAAAACTAAACCAAATCCATTCCTGCTTTGCTAACCATATCTGTGGTTTATGTGTTGCAGGGAGTCTCCGGTGGACTGCAGTGTGGGGAAATGTAATAAGATGGTGGGGGGTAATGACACAGCTCAGATGAACTATGGAAACTACATGGATGAGAAGAGTGCCCCTCCCCCAAACATGACCACCAACGAGAGGAGGGTCATCGTACCGGCAGGTAAATAAGTTCTGCAAAAACATTACAAAGTTCAAATGATAACTCGTGCTTTATGCATATTGAATACATTATACAGAGTTCACTTATAGTATCTGGTGATTATCCATGTTTTTCCCTAAAAAGACCAATGCTATATCTCTGTATATTTTGCGTATAGCTTGATCTCGGTCAGGTCTCTTTGTCTCACTTTGATGATTTCTCACTTTAGATTCAGTATTGTCATGAACTTGTTGTTTCTGCAACAATCCGCTGTGCTATTACAATGTTCTCCTTTTGTTCCTGAGAAAGTCATGCCAATCACGTATTCCTTATTGGCTTATCCACATGTCAATGATCATCTGTAATCCAGGATATCATGTTGGGGAATAGTTTGATCGATTGATTGTCCTGAGAGTCTGAACAAATATTCCCGTTCCAACATAAACTAGGACCACATTGAGATTGAGCTGTATACAAAGTACAGTGCATTTAGAACTTTGCACTTTCTGTCATGATTACCTCGAGCATAAAACAAAATCAGTCTTCATTTCTGAAAGGATACATGAATAAACAAAAAAACAAATCTCTGAGTGCAATTGGTCAAATGTTAACCCTAACTATTGAGTAAACCGGAGTGCACATAATCTAATTTCAGTATAATGTTCTGTGTTCTGTGATGACTTCAGGCCTCAGAGGTTTGATAAGAGAATATTGATCATGAAACAACTTCATGAAATCCAAGAAACCCACCAGAGGGGTCAGGGATGAGGTTTAAAGCATGGTTAGGTTGACAGAATTCTTACAAACCCACCAAGACATGGGCACTAACAGCTCAAACATGGACAACACTGATCACAGAGGAACACCAGGGCAATCGGAAATCTGGATGAGCTGCAGACATCCACAGCTCACCTGTGGGAATCTGTACATGGGGCAAAGATTAGTCATGGTGCCGCAAAGAGAGCCAATGTTGAAATAAAGCTGCATGAAGCGGATCATACCATCCCCAGTCTTTTGTGTATCTCATAAAAAAAGGCACTCTATAGCAGTAATGCGGCCACAATGGGTCAAACTGGGAAAGGAAAGGCATACTGTTGCTTTACATTGATGTAGTAGAATTAGTAGTAGTGGTAGAAGTAAAAGTAGTAGCGCTAGTAGTAGTAGAAGTAGTAGTGGTAGTAGTGGTAGTGGTAGTAGTAGTGTTCGCTCTTTTTCTTTTACTTAGACAACAACAAACAAAGTAAATAAATCCTTCAACCTGTTTTACATTCAACCTGTTAAAGCAGGTGGTGGCAGCATCATGCTGTGGGCTCGCTTTTCTTCAGTAGTGACAAGGAAGAGAGTTAGAGCTGATGGGAAGTGGGATGGAGCAAAATACAGCTGCATTTTGTAGAGTCATAGGCCAAAAGACTTGCTGCTGTGATTGCAGCCAAAGGGGTTTTTTATTTATTTAAGTATTTACCCGCCTTGTATAAATATTGGTGCAATAGAATCATTCTGTCTTTATTGAGCTTTAAGGACATTTTATCAATCAAGGCTAAAATGTATTTACAGAACATATTATTTTTAATTTAAACTTCAGATGATAGTAGTTTAAACAAAGTAAGTAATTCAGAGTTGAATTGATTGGCACTTTAAGCACATCCCAGAACCCCTGGGCCATGGTGACATCCTGATGAACAGAAGTTACTCTCTATCACAGTGATTCTTTTTGACATAAAACACAGGTGCAAAATCAGTCTTAGTTTTATATGCCCATTGTTGTAAAACTTTTTCACTTTTTATAGAGCTCACTCACAGGGTAAAGTATCGTACAAGTACTTTATGCCGCACATGGGAGCCCGACTGATTTCCTGCTGAAATATATTCTTGACTGCCAATTCTTTTTTTCTTTTTTTTTTACAATTGTAAAATTAGATGCATGTTGCTGTTTCAGTTCAGTGAAAACATCGAGGTCCAGACTCCAGACGGTCACACAGGCCCCCACTATGATACTGAGAATTATAACAATATTATATTTCAATGTAGATAAATTACACATTAGTTTAATGGTATTATATGGTTCCTTGTTCAGTGTTTCTTGTGTTGTGATGTGTTTTGTAACTTTGCACAAACATTGCCACAAAGAAGCACTTCTTACTTCAGATTTTTAGTCTGCACGCAAGAACATCAGGTGATCATGTTTTACACAAATCAATCTGATTTACAAGCTAAAATAGTACAAGCACTTATTTTCTTCAGTTTTTCAATGCACTGTTAAAAGTTTCAGAGCAGTCAATTTGACGACTTTTCGATTTGTAAATGTAATTACTCAGCGTGTTTTTGGTCTTCATAACTGTGACTAGTTTATTCTCGTCATTATTATTCATTGATCTTTCTTAAATGTAAGTACTTTTAACTCCCAGAGCAGTTATTCCCCACCAGAGTAGAGCTAGCATAGCAACACACTTGTTAACAGTTAGCATTTAGCCTTTCAATAAAGTGGTTTAGCTGAATTTAAAATTATATATAGTAAAGCTATACATCACTTACTTTTAAGACATTTGGTGAAAAAAAGTAGTTTGAGATGTGTTTGATTGGGAGCCGTCAAAATGACTGCTTTGGGAGTTCTAATCTTAGTACATTACTTCGTCGTTTCAGAATTCTGGGAGTCCTCATGTTGAAAAAACATTGACTAAGAAAAAATATAAAAAACTTGCTTTTCCACAAGCCTCCTTGTATGTGTCTGACAGATCTATTAGCAATGGTAATGATTATAATCCATCCTTTTCCTCTTTTTAATTGCAGACCCTTTGTTGTGGTCCCAGGACCATGTGCGCCAGTGGCTGGAGTGGGCCATAAAGGAGTACGGCCTCTTAGATATCGACACCAGCATGTTTCAGAACACAGACGGAAAAGAGCTTTGCAAAATGAACAAGGACGACTTCCTCCGCCTCACCACCATGTACAACGCCGAAGTGCTCCTGTCTCATCTCAATTACCTCAGGGAAAGTAAGTCCTGCCTCTCTTTCATTATTACCGGACAAATGATAAAAAACATTTAATCTTTTAACACAAGCACAAAGTCCCTGTGTGTGTGTCGGCCATTAGGAGCAAACCAAACACACAAAAAACAATAAGAACATTCCATAAATGTTCATTTTGTACGTGTTGGAATGGAAGTCAAAAGAAACCCATACCAGTATCACTTTTCTCTGTCTTAAGCTTGAATAAACAGAGCCAGAGAACATATGGTTTATAAGTTAGAATAAATGAATATGCTAATCCTTGCACGCTAGAAGGTTATTGGCCGGGATGTCCCAACAGAGAGCAGCCAAAAGAAAGAATTGCTACTTGGAACAAAGTTTAGATTTGTAAAGCCTATGATTAAGAAATATTGACTGATTCTGAATCCACAAGGCTTTTGTCAACACATTACTTTAGTAAACCAATAAACCAGAGTTACTAATTTCGCTGGAAAAGGGAACAGCACTTTCACGTGGTTTCTCGGTCCTAGACAGAGCTGTGGAAATCTTAATGGGTTTTTCTTCCAGCTCTCTGGAGATAACCATCGACTACATCACACACATACACTTAGTGGTCCCCCCACCACATGTCGACAGAGAGATGAAGGCCAGGTGAACCGCCCCAGGAGCAACTCTCAATGTTCTTCTATGCTCAGCAAAGAAAAATGATCTACAATTTACTATAAAGGCAAAACACAATTTAAGGAGCTTCTGCATCAATCTTGTTATAGTTGCCATTAGCAGCAACAGGTCAGCCAGAAATATAAATGATGGATTAGTATTCAAATCATTGTTGTCTACTTGAAATACATGTTGAAAAGGGAAAGAAAGTATCATAGGATCAGGTCAAGTAAAAGAACACATTTATCTTTCCCCTTTAGTTTTGGTTGGTAAATAGCCAGCTGTCTAAAGAAGAATGCAAATTTCACAGTAATCTTGGTTGTCTAAAACATACGTTTTGACAAAAAGGGCTCAGTATAGCTCAGTATAAGCAGTATTATTGGGCGTATCTGTCCTCTGGTCTTGTTTTGCAATGTTGAGACTTCAAAATAAACAAACCTGAGAGAAAGAAAGGGGCATGAAGTGAACTAAGCCAGAAGTAAACCAGTCCACAGTCTGGACTAAAAATCTGGCCAAAAAGTTCCAAAATGACCCTTACTTCAGACTTACATATACTCCAAATACATCCTGACATTGAACTAGACCAGGACTAGCTAAAGACCAGCTATAGACTCCATTGTTGACCATATAATCAATGTAAGATCTTGCGTCGCTGTGGCTGCAGAGTATCATGACACTGCTGGGTGGAGTGAATGATGGCCTGGACTAAATTTAACATCACTCCCAAAAAGTTGCGATGGACCCAGTGTGATGTAATGGGAACTGTATTTTGTGGGTGTCAACAGTTTTCTGGATGCACCACGACTGGGCAGAGAGCGAGGGCTGTCGTGAGCATAACAGGCTCATTGTGCACTGGTGAATATGTCTAACCGCTGTTGGGCACACTTCGCAAAGCAGTTTTTATTATGGCCATTGGCTTTAGGACTCTGCCCCTTTTCTGATTTAAACTTTGTATGTTTTGGAGACAGAAGAGATGTCTCAAGAATCCTCTCCACTTGCCAGTTAAAATTGCTTTGGATGGCTTCCCAACAATCCGAGAAAGATGAATACAGTTGCTTTTGGAAGTTTGTGAGGGGCGATGCTTACACTGTGATATTGACGCTCGCGCCTATGGGCATGAAAAGCTATCTACGTATAAATGAACTTCTAAAGGAGATAGAGAAGGGGAAAAGACAATGCTATGAGGCTTATTCTTTGCCTCAAGCTTTGACGCTCTGGAGACTGAAGCATGCTGCTAAAAGAGAAAAAAATATATTCCCCCAAGACACAAACTAATACAGAAAATAGACTCCTGGCTTTGCGTTGGAGCAGCTGGAGTCAAACGCCCAAAACTGGGGGAAAGGAGATTGAAAGGTCACGTGATGTCTTCCGCTTTTTATTGCCGGTCATGCTCTAAAGAAAAGAAAAGCCAGATCACCTCGCAATCATTTCATCCACATGTGTTTATCCCGTAAGTGTATTGTTTATCAAGGCTCTGATTAACATTCCTCTGAGTCATTAAGCACTGTACGCGCCGCATGGGGCCGGGACGCACTTCCCGAGCCCGAAGCCAGACAAGAACTTTCACCGCCATGTCACGCATTACATCAAATAAGGCACCTCTGTATATATGAACGATGTTTGGACTATGCTTTCAAGAATTGCATGACTAAAGTTAACTCGGACTAAACTTAAATATACCAGCACTCGTTTGTTAAAAACCAGGTGAAGAATTCATCTTGTTTTATAGAGGACTGTGGTTCAGGAGAGTCTATGAGAAGAAACATAACAGTGGTGATGATCCAGGACACTCTACATGTATCAACATTAATGGTCATCTGCCCCTTATGAAAAATGGCTCTATGTGTTTTGGTAGCATTGCATTTTTTGTGTTTGAACTGTTTGGCGAATTCAACCGTTTTGTTAAGTCCTCAAAGATAACTACTGCTGTGATTTAGGGCTATACAAGGATAAATTGAATTGAACTGAATTGATTAGAGCCAAAACCCATAACTGAGGCAACAACAGACAAATCTAACTCCAAACAAAGATTATTCACATTTGAATTCCGAATAAATAAACTGTTTTTGCTTGTTTCTAAAAGTAACACTCCCCTACCACAATCTTTCAGCATCTGCCTGCGTGCCCAGCTGTGCACGGGAAGTTACCCGTGCATTTTTCTGGCTTCATTGTTGGTCACTTATCCGGATTTTTATAAGTGATGGCCGCCCGCACCCCAATGTGCTTTCAATTTGGGCTGCAATTTGAGAATTTGTCCAAATTAGTCTGTCAGGGAGGCACTGTAGACTGTTTGCTTTATCGCACCCATGTAGGTCCATTTGATACCACATGTGCTGGAGCAGGAGAGCAGAAACCTCAGACAACTGTATATCATCCAACACAGCGGCATGAAGAAATAACAACATTTGGGGATTGTATTTTGGGTCAGAACAGGCCTTGAATATTCAAAAAAATACCATTGTGTCAACAGGAAACCACACACCTTGATTCAAATATACAGTATTTTCAAGGAGAAAGAAAATGGTAGGTAAAAAAAACATATAGATCCTATTTATTCACTAATTCTCCCCAAGCTAAGTTATTTTTTAAGTATTATGCCTAAGTTTAAACATATTCTCGTCTGTCCTCTAGAGTCACTTTGTTATTCGTCCCATTCGTCATGCTTCATTCCTTCATTTTAAGTATAGAAAAAAAACTCAGACATTGTTGCTTTCATGTGGAAGTACAATACAGATTCAGAGCCCGCATCTGGACGTCCCCAGACCTTTTGTGAAGTGTCTCTAATATTCGGAGGTGGTTATGAGCCAAAGGAGCAGTAGTACTGTTTCGCAGCTGTCGCCTGCCCCGGTGTGTCTGGATGGATTTACAGTCAGAACTTTTGTCCCAGGGAGAGAGTGATAATTCTGGGCTCCTGCCTGCTCCGGAGTGGGGGACATTCTCAATAGTTTATACAGCCCATAAACATATGGGCTGAAAGGCTGACTGAGGAGAAAGGACTTCTGGAGGAGGCAGACTTTTCTCCTCAAAACATTTTTATTGAGCTCCTTTTGCTGCATTAGTTTTTTTGGCAGATTATCACTGGTGCACAGGAGCTCAGGCACCTGGCTGAGGGCCCTGTGCTTTTCGCTTCAGCTCTGGGTCGCCATTACTGTGTTGTTGAAGAAAGACAGTATTTAGAGTGTACAGGTTGATACATGGTTCATGGTTTTCTGTATTGTTTTGGTTTTGTTCTCAAATAAGCTAATTGTCTGCATTTACTTAATTTGTGTTAAAGAAGACCCTCTTTCTTGCACTAGAATACACAGTAATAATAATAATAAAATAATAAAAGTAAATCTTTACTCCAGACAGTGTATATAAAAGACAGTACAAAGACACCATAAGACAAAGAAAAATACAAAAAAAAGTATATAAAAATATATTTTGCTATTTGACTTAAGCATAAAAAAGAAGTATAAAATCTCTACCTTTGGCCTGATAAGAAGCAAGCATTAAGTGCTTGCATTTTGAACTCATTATTCTAAAGATAGAGATTGTATACTTTTTTATTTTATTCAGTATGGCGTTATTGTTCATTTATCTTGTGCTGTGTGCTGCTCATTTCTACTGTTCTTTAAATGGTGACGCAACACTGAAATCTCCCCACTGTGGGACGAATAGAGGATCTTGTAATTCCTTAATCTTAAACTAGTTCTTAAGCTGGAAAAATGACTAGACCTTCTCACTGTGCTCGAGGACACTTCACGGGATGCCTTCAAAGCCACGACCCACATTAGCACCTATAGTGTTTTTAAAAGCAAATGATTGAGTATCTGTCTGGTCAGTGACTTTCAAACTGTGCTACTTTGTAAGTGGTGCTCAGGGAGTTGTTGAGATTGGACGCTGTGTAAATCACTTTTTACTAAATGCATGAATCTGGATGTTCACATGGACTACATGCATGTTGATTGTTCAAAACGCACGTAAAGCCAGGCCCGTCGATTGACTTTCCCAAATCATGTAAACACAACTTTGTAGCCTGAGAGGAGAAGAATAATAGACATGGGCTATATTTTTTATTTTTTTTTAGATTTAGTGCTTCTTTGGCCATGTTAAAGTTGTTTCCCCTTGTCCCTGTCCGGCGGCTGGCAGTTCTGGGTTCAATTCGTGCTTCAGACAGGCCCTTTCTGTATTTGTGTCTGCGTAGGTTTTTCTCAGGGTGCTCCAGTTCTCCCCACCACTAGAAAACATAGAATAGTTCTGAGTGAATTAATTGGAATGTCATCTTCATCGGGTACAATGTGAACAGAAAATTCTCCATGGATCCAAAACATAGTAAAGCACTTTGGGTGACCCTGGTCTGTGAAATGTGCATATAGAAAAGATTACTCACTTACTACTTGTCTCCTAGCCCCTCTCCTGGGTTTTACTTACTTCTTCGACAACTTCTTTTTCTAAATCCGTTATGAGGTCTCAACTTTGTCTGTATATCAAAGGTATATGAGGAATTTCCCAAATTTTACAAAACTCTCTGGTATTATTTGACGAGCATGTATCACCATTGACAATTGGGAGGACCAATAGTCTTGATGATCCGCCCACAAGTAGAACACCATATACCTTTAAAGATCCACATGGGTCATAGATCATCATATTATAGAAAACAGAATTTGGTTACGATCTCTTTAAACTCACAGCTAAGATCAATATGGCCCATCCATGTAATCGTGGCTCTTTGTTTTGGTCGCTTTTGTTCAAGTGAAAGTGATAATAACTATGTCCACCAGAGACGCAATTAAAATGATCTTTTTCTCCACCAAAAAACATATTTATTTTCCAGACTGGTAAAATTCAGTTTGGTGTCTGTCCCCAGTGATTTAATGATCTGCCTCCAGGCCTTCTTCAGCTCTCCTCTGAGATTGGTATTTTTCTTATAAATTCCTGTTCATTACCTAAAAAAACTAATGTTCAAGCTGTGGGCCACTTCAAATTGTGCTGCCATCAACTTCAGTTTGGGTTGGGAAATTCCCAAGTGTGGGGGTGGGAACCGTTTAATGGGCGCAATACAAAATTATTATGAACTACAACTTTTTTGGCAGTTGGGCAGTGGCTGAGGACAGAAGAAAGTTTCTGGGCAGTTTGGCAAGTTATGAATGCCATAAAGAATATGTCTTAAAGGAAATCTAACATTATAGATATAAGTTCCACATAATGACTCTTAATTATACAAAATTATTGACAGCTGAGAATGAGCAGAAAAAATACCGACCAGGTACTGAAAGCCGCATTGAGCAGGTACTGGTAAAAATGGTAACGGTTTCCAGATCTTTTTCCAAGTCAGCTGCATTGTTGGATTGCCAGGAATCTCTCTGGTTCACCATCCTTCTGTAGTTCATCGAGCCAAAGTCAATGCTTGCTGTCCAATCAAATGAATAAGTGACGTATGTGAAATGAAAGAAGTTCAAGGCCCATGAGCTTCAGTCTTTAGAAGCCAACTGACTTTTAAACAGCGTATTTAAAGATGTATTTTTTATTTATTTTATATTGCATTTCTGCAATTTTATTGTATTTATATTTTAAATCTTGTGATGCTGTGCTTTTATGTACCCCCACTGGTGCTCCCTCTGAATGTAAATGAAGTTCCGCATGGATAAATAAAGTTATTTGACTTGAATTGAATAGAAAGGGAAACTCCCCTCACCTCAGATTAAGAGATTTGTGCGTTGCTCATTGATCCTGCAGAAATCCATGTCTTGCAGTCCTTGTGCTATTTGTATTACTTTTTTTCGTAAGCATTCGTTTGTGTTTTGAAACAAGCCGATGTTAATCCACCTGTCAACCATTTCCATCTGAAGGACGGGAGAATAAACCGATGCTCGATAAGTAGCATAATAACCCTCTAATTCTCTTGCTTTTTCATTTGTGTCACTGGAAAGAATTGACTTCCACTTCTTGGTGGCATTTTGCCTAAAACTCCGGAGCTTTGGATCCAAAGTTTGTTGACAGAGTCCACATGTTTAAAGCAACAGTATCATATAGCCCAAGAGAATAAACAGCAGGGGCCCAGCAGAAGTCTGTCACTGTGAGCGAGCCCTAAAAGGTCTCAGTAATATGGGCCGGTCCACAGTATCTCTGAGCGAACTGTCAATCATAAAAAGCAGAGAAAGGAAACTGTTTGTAAAAGTTATGTAATCTTAACTCAGTATGAACAGATGTGAGAGAGCAGAATGGGAACACTGGCCAGTCCCTCATGGTGCTGTCAGATTAACAAGACTGGTTTGTTTTCTGGAGGAGGAAGAGGCCATCCAAATAAACAGGCCGAGCAGACTGGAGTCCTGAAGCGTCAGTCAGCTGTAGTGCATAGTGCGGCTTCCTCCACGCTCGTACTCCCTCTCTCCTGGTTACTCAGTGGGCCGGTTTGAGGTTTTCTCAGCGGAGCGGCCTGTTTGCCTGTCTGGGTCAGCCCACATGTGGCCCACAGTAGAAGGGTTAACATCTCCTTCCTCTATTCCTCCTCTTCCTCCTCCTCTATATGCCTCCAACTTCTTCATCTCCTCCACACTTCTCCTCATTCCTCACATGGGGCTTTGATGGTGCAGGGCCTTGTGTGCTTACGCTTGGTGTGTGGAATTATTTTTGTACGGAGAGCTGCGTTTGATTGCAGAGCAGGGACCCGGCCCTCATACAATGGCTCCCCTGTTCTCTGGCCCCTGGTTTCTAAACTCGACCCAGAGCCTTGGGGGTGCTGCAAGAGAAGGTAATGTGGGGAAGGGGGAGATGTGGGGTGAGGTGTTTCGAGCGCCCCCTTCTCCCTGAGCCACCCCCTAAAATAACAGACCCCTAGTCTGTCACCGAGGGCCCCTTCACCCCCATCACCTGGACGCCATTTCCACCACAACCCTGTAGACAGCCTTTCAAAGCCCATAAGTGTTATTCATGTGCAAATATTCAGCTTGTTCTTTGACACTTTTTTTTGTTGGATCAGTCATTGTCATTACACCTGTACAAGAAGAACATTTATTGTAGATGGAGAATTAAAGCTGGGGTACCTATCTTTATTTTTCATTAATAATACATGCTTTTTGCCCCAAGTGAAAGAGTTTTGTAAAAGTAACATTCTGTGAACTAATCAAATTACTATCCTTTCTTCATCTTAGTAGACAACATGAAGAAAGTGTACAACATTGAAATTTGTGAGTCACTATTTGACACTTCAGGCTGAGAGATGATTGGTTGCACATAAGTGAACTTCTTTTTAATTTTTTTGGTCCGAAAACCTGCATGTGAAAAGGAGTGATGGAACCAAACTGTTTTTAGAGTGAGGAAATAGATGGATTTTAGTTCATAGTTCTATTCTTTGTGGTTGTAAAGTTAGGTACCACCAACTTTAAGCAGCTTTTTTCCCCTCGACTAATTGATCAGACCATGTTTTAGAAATAGTACAGCAGTGATGTTCAAACGTTTTAATAAGAGGCCCACCAGAAATGTCCACTGGGTCGTCGACACAGATTTTAAAAGACTGAGCTGAAGATGACAAATGTTTACTTTCTCACAAGCTGCAGCGATGAGACACAGTAATAAACACATGTCATACTGGAGGAGCTGAAGTTGGGTGGATGACACTATGAACTTATCTCAATGACTACTTTGGGTTAGGAAGGCAGAGGGCCCCATAACAAGACACAGAGCGCCGCAATTTGGCCACGGACCTCAGATTGGACATACTTGGTCTAGAGGTATAAGATGCTTGCGTAGAAGTTCATCTTATGCAATGAAAACATTGACAGAAACCAATTAAAACTGAACCTACAGGTGCATTACAGGTTTAACCCAGTAATTTAGTTTGAATTAAACAGGTTGCATTAGAAGCATGTTGGAAGGAAACCCAAGGAACATATTTGAACTTTGAGCAGATTATATGTAACTGTTTAAAATATCAAAATGTTAATTTAGTGTGCAATAGATATCAGTGTAAAATCTGCTCTCCTGGTGTAGTGGCGAGCCTTGTGTTTTCACTGTGCATTTTTGGGTCTGTTTTTCCACTCACTGATTTATGCCTGGGGGCAGCTAAAATTAAGAGAGCATTTTGGTGCCGCCCAGGGTGCCTGTGTAAGTGCAGGAATGCAGCGCCGAGTTCTGCTCCATAAGGTGAAATGAATAGGCCACCATATGCACACTCTGACTTTTGGACTTTATTATTCACCAGTTTGGTTCGGGTTTTGAATGCTGACAGCCCGGAGCGTTTCCAGTCAGCTCGCCACTCTTGCGCTGGAAGCACAGTTGTGAAATGAATTATTTTTCCTTTTGCTCAAGACAAAACAGTCGCACAATTCAAGAAAAATGAAAAGGAGTTTGTTCGAGTTTGGTTAATTGAGCTGGACCATATGCTGCCATCTACTGGAGATCTTGCCAAGCGAACAAGACACAGTTGTGTTATAGCTGTGAGTGTAGTATTGAGAAGGACTCGATGGACGTGTTGTGTGTTACAGATTATCGAATACCTGCATTCAAATCTATGTTTCTGTATTCCGGCTCAATATGTTCTCAAAATACAATATCAGTGATTCCAAACATTTGTCCATACTGTTTAACCATTGTATGTACACAAATTACTACAAATACAACAAGACTAAATATTAGTATTTATATATAGTTTTACAAGTGTTGCTTTATTGGTCCTGTATGCGAAAACCCTCCTATAGACAAGGATGTGAATGTACTTATGTCAAATAGTAGTAGTAAAAGTAAATTGTCCAAGTTGAATGGACTTCTTGTTACAATTCTTAACAGCTCTGCATGTGTCCCCAGTCTAAACCTGACATCTGATTTTGGCCCCGAGCCTTCCTGTGAAAAAATATTTACTTTTTTTTTTAAAGTAAACTAATAATTGTCTTTTGAGACTGAATATTTTTGGGGTTGTCTATACACATCTGAAAATTCTTGTCCTTGCTTGTTATCAACCCGGGGTTTTGATATGCAGTTCTTGTTGATTGAAAGCTATCCCAGATGATTTTTTAATTTATTTTAATTTCTCATGTATTTTTATTCCATTCAACAAGCTAAAAAGGTTTTTCATTGAAAGCAGCATGTATCCTGACGTTTTGTTCACATAAAATCCGATTTTTTTTGCAAGCATATCTGAGTATGATTTCTTTGTGTCGTTCCAGGTAGCTCATCATTATCATACAACGCTCCATCTCACACTGATCCTTCCCCACGCCTCGCTCCTAAAGACGGTAAGAAAAACCTTTCACTTTGCGCTTGCCTTTTTTAACCTTAAAAAACTTGTGAAATTACAAAAATAGAAAGAAGATGAATAGGTAAAGACCTGTCATTACAACAGTGTCTCTAAATTATGCATTCTGGCTCCAAAATAAGCATTTATTTAGCCCAGAACAACACTGAAAGGAGACAAATACAGCGCTGTACGTAAATGAGAAAGCAGCTGAGCAGACAGGTGCATCATTTGTGTGGTTTGGTGATTAGATTGATAGTTGGGCGTTTGACAGAAGCTCTCAGCTCGCCCTTCAGACAGAAAAAGGACCGTGTTAATTCTAAAGCCCGTGAGTGTGTCTGTCCTCAGCCTAAAGCAGCCACATGGAAAGTGAGATGGAGAGATTGCCAGGTTTAACGATGAAGCATGTGGGGACTTTGTCGGTGATTTTGTGATTGTGGAAAGCTGTGACTGTGCCATAGGACATCTGACATTATGAATAAGAAAATATCTCAACTTGATTTGTTTTATGTCTTCACCTATTTATGCAACTTTTAAGTAACTTTCAAACAACAGCAAATGAGACTATGTCATAGAATCCATGTCATTAAAGTTTGTGGCGCTCTGGTTCCACCACTAGTTTTCAAAGGCCTGTTTTTTTTTTTTTTTTTGTCACATCTTTAGATCAGGTTTTTTTCAGACAGAAAAGTGAAAAAGTGAGGACTACTGAGTTATTCAGCCAAAGTGTCAAATAGTGACTCGCAGGACACTTTACTGCAGGTACAGTCTGCAAAAGACAAAATAAAATATGGTCTAATAAGATGTGGTCTGATTTGTTGACATCTCACTTGTGTAAGAGTATTTCTGTTGGACAAACAATCTATGAAAAGTTGGGTACACCAGCTTTGATAAAAATCTGATTTGTTTTGTTGTGTTTTTAGCTTATTTACATGGTATCAACCTTAGCTCAAATCTGTTTTCACCTTCTCCCTTTCCCTACATAATGTTTTATATCCACATACAAATATCTATATAATCAAATACATATTAAATACTCGTTTAATGGTGCAGTTCTACATCGATCTGGCCTATTTAAATCACATTACTAAGGACAAAATGTCACTACATATTCCTCAATATTATCTATAGCAGAGTAGTCACGTCATATATCCATATAAACAACAACATTTAGAAAAACCCAAGCATAAAAGCAGGCCAACACTAGGACAGTTAATGAATGCACCTTTAAACTGTCTCAGTTTTGTGAACACCGTTATAATAACAATACGCATGCAGACTTTGAACAACTATCTCTTTCCTCATTACCTTTCACTTTAAAAACATTGCTTTGTGCTGACACCACCGCCGCCCTGCCTATCTGTTAAACCAAATACACAGCCCTTGCATTGGCTATAAGGTGTCAGCACTGCAGACTGAGAAAGAGCTGCAAAAACAATGATAGCCTCGCGCACAGGATGAGTGGTGCTATCGAGGCGAGAGCAGAGGAAACAGCGAGTCCGATAAGTGTCTGAAAATGCCCCGTGGCCCTGTGTCTATCTGCCCTCGCTCTCTCCACTACAACAGGCTACAATACAATAGTGTAATGGGCAACACAGATAAGACTCTGCTCCATCACCCCGCGACCCGCTCTTCCTGGTTCTCAGCAGCAGGTATTTGCACTGGCAGCCATAGCGGGTCACTCCCTTCAGTACTATTTCCTTTTGCACAAATAGGGATTTCTAATATATACGGCTCTGCACTCGTGACCAAGGGGAGCGCCCAAACGTCCTTCATTGTGATGCCATTCATGTGTGGTTTCATTCAACATTTGTACAATAATATCCATATTCGGTCTTTGACTAACTGGGCACTGTAAAAAGTGATGAAAACTAATTAAAAACGTGCTTAAATTTGGAAATGTTGTATCTTAATTTGAGGACATTTCGACTACTTTAAAACAAGATTTGCCAATGGGACAAGCAAAATGATCTTGTTTTAAAAAGATTCAAGAAATGTTTCTCTTGGAATGAGAAAACATGCACCAGTTGCACCAAAGAAGACTGAAGGGTTTGTCCCATTGTTAAATCTTGTCTTAAGACAGTCAGAATGAACTAAAATTAGGATAAAAACCACTTGATTTAAGCAAATAATACCTCACATTTTATCATTTTTTTGCAGTGTGCGTATGGTTATATTAAAGCTGGGGTATCTGACTTTTTTTCTCATTAATAACACTGTTGCTTCACTGCAAAAAAAAATATGAAATGACTTAAAATTATAATTGCTTTTTATCTAAATTTGAGTACATTCTGACTGTCAAGATTTTCCAACGGGACAAGCCAGATTATTTCAAGAACTGTTGCATTGTTTTTTTCATTCAGGGAGACATTTCTTGCATCTTTTAAAAACAAGCTCATTTTGCTTGTCCAGTCGGCAAATACTGTTTTAAGGCAGTCAGAATGTGCTCAAATTAAGATGCATTTTTGCCACATTTTTGCCATTTTTGAGTTGTTTTTCATATATTTTTGTAGTGTTTCAGAAAAGGTCTGGTAAAAGAAAATACTATGATGTTTTAATTTTTATTTGTAAAAAAAATGGTAAGAAATCCTACAAGTCACTAGTGTATGTATGCTTTGGGCTGAGAACAAACTAGCTGAATGAAAGTTTTCTCCTGTTTCACTTTTCTGTCTGAAAAATCTCATCTAAAGATGTGACAGAGGCCAAAAGATACATGCATGTGGAAACTAGTGATAGAAACCTTTTTTTAAATGTTGGTAGTTCTTTACTTTAACAGAAGAAGATATGAACAGTGTATCAATCTACATAAGTCTATAAGTAAATAAAATAGTAGACATGGAAGTGATCGCGGAGGTGAGATTGAGGAGTTGAGTTGTAACTATACAAAAAATGTTGCTCAATATTTATACTAATGTTGGATTTATGTATTGTACTGTGAGGTTCATTTTACTTAAGAGAGAGTTTTGTTACTTTAAACTCAACATTACACAAACAGTTAGAAATATATCATCAAAAAGTTATTATATGTAACTTTCTATCCATTTTTACCAGTAACAAACAGCCCTCACACATATTTATATTACTTCTTAGTTCAAAAGCGTTTTCTTTCATCCTTCAGTCTGTCTCATTGGTGTCAGGTTGAACAATTTCTTTTTACGAGTTAAATTGCGAACCTGACAAAGATGCAGAATTGGGTTTTCCATTAAAAAAGTCTTGCTTGAGGAGAGCAGATCACGGTTGCCAGATGTGCAATTTCTTTTTGCCCCTTGAGAACAGTACGGTCAAATACCATTCAGGCTGTTTGGGGTAGAGTAAGCATGAGCATACAGCAGGAGACAACCCTTAATCTGCTCCAGACTGACTGGTGTAAAATGCAATGTTATGAATAAAAGAAGCATATAAAACATGGAATGTAGGTGTGTGTCGGCATAGACCAGAGCAGCCTGTGTAGCAGTTCGAACGAGCAAAAATACTACTGCACTGGTTCTGTATGGGTCCAACAGTGATAACAAAGAACATCCAGGCACTATTATTGTTTGATTTCATATGGTAAAGAATCGCAATCATAATCTACACTTGTTTGTATTGGAAAGAAAGTGAATTGTTATGATTTTGGCTTGCATTTTCAGGCTTCTTTCCTTATTATGCTAAAGATAGAGATTTTACTGTTTCTATTCATGCTAGAGTTAGAGATTGTTTTATTTTTTATTTTAGTATAGAGTCATTATTAATTTATCTTGTGCTGTTTGCCCCAAATTCCTACTGGTCTGTAACGTGTGATGCAACACTGAAATTTACCCATTTCGGAAACGAGCAAAGAATCTCCTAATCTTAATCTTAGTCTGCATTTGTCTTGCATTTGGGCCTGTTCATGCTGCTTTTTAACTTTATATTTTAACTGTTTTTAAAATCCACTTTTTTCTTGTATGTTGGCGACCATGAGTGTCAAGAAAGGCACCTAAGAAATCAAATATTATTATCATGAGTATTTTTATCATCAGAATCAGTGCCTACCTACATGTACTTACTTTAGTATAAGATAATGTTGTTTTCTGACACCATGCCTTGTCTTCCACTTGAGTGATATTGTGTTTGAACTTTGAAGTAACAATACTGTGTCTTGATGAAAGGTAATCCCTCTGTGCATGAGTAAGTACTAAAGCTTGTGTTCTTATGCCTCTGCCAAAGCGGTAATGAGAATGTTGGTCTGTAGACAGGACTGCGAGAAAACTACTGGGAGGATGGAGCTTAAATTAGGTGTCTAGATGGATGTCATTTTGGTTTAAGTTTCTCACAATTCCCCATGATTTTAACTGTTTTGTTTGTTGCTTATGCGTAAATAAGGTGTTCATCTCCAAATACATTTTAAACTTTTACTTTTTGTTTGGTTCACTTGAGCGGCACAGTGACGCAGTGGTCAGAGCCGTCCCACCCTCAGTAAGAATGTCATGGGTTCTCTCATCACTGGAGCTTTGTGGGTGGAGTTTGCATGTTCTTCCTCGGCCTGTGTAGGTTTCTTCCAGGTGCTCCGGTTTCCCCAACCAAAGAAAAACTAGCTGTGAGCTTATTCCATAGTGTTATTACAGGTATTTTTACACCTTGCCTACAGGGATCACAGTTGGAAATTAGCTGCTAATACTGGCGCTTTTACTGTTGATTCATCTGTACTGTTCCTCTTCAAATAAACTAATAATAATAATGAAGATTAAGAGATCCTACATTTGTCCCACAGGGGGGGAGAAATGTCAGTGTTGCATCACAAGTTACAGACTTTAGGAATGAGGAGCGCACAGCACAGGCAAAATGAGTAAAAGAAGCAGTATAAAATAGTAATCATAGTAATCATAGTAATAATAACAAAAATGATATTGTCTTTAAATCAAGAGGTGATAATAAAGAAACGCTGTCACGTTAAATTAATCAACTATGTTTTTATGTGAAATATTTAATTACCAAAATTATTATACTACTCTACCCACCTCGTATTATTGAATTAGATTTTGACTTCTATTGTTTATATTATGCTGTATGTTATGTTGTGTATTATATATGATATGATATGATATATATGGTATGTATGGTATATATCAGGCATGTCAAAGTCAAATACATCAGAGGGCCAAAAAAACAAATTTGCTGCGAGCCGAGGGCCGGACTGGTTCAATGTTTATTAACTCATTGCTTGCCAGCCTATTTCAGAACAGGTACTCCCATATTTCCAGCAGTTACTGATGATTTTTATTGATTTTTCAAACCCACAGAATATTGTGTACTATGACTATCTGAAATCCGAAACCAGATTCTGAAAGAATAGACAGTCTACTTTCATCAGCAAAAACAATTTTGTTTCTAGCTTGTAATCCCCAGTTGAGTAGAGGGAAGTTTTACTGAAATCACCAAAAAGCTGAGAAAAAAGAGGCACAACAAGTGCATCTAGCTGTTTTCAAACCATTCAGAGAGCGCTGCTGCCACCTGCTGGCTCGATTCAATATGCTCTCAAGTTTATCCCCATACATATTAGATATAATAGACATCTGGGAACATGAAAATAGCTACTATATATGATGTATCCCTACGTTGTCCTTTACGAAATAGTCCTATTTGTTTCAAAGATAGTATCAGTAAACAGGAGAACAATTAATCCTCGTGCTTCATTACCCGGGGGGTCCAGGGGTGTCGGGGTTCCTTGGGCCCTGCAGTCCAGTACTGCCAGGCTGGTCCCTCGGGCCGTAGCTAGGGATGCCGGGGTTACCCTTCCACCCTTTGCGTCCTGGTGGTACCAGGAAACCTGGAGCTCCACGCCCTATATTTGGAAAGAGAAGTTGAGCAACAAACTATTAGAAAAATAAAAAGACTGATTACACTTATATTTTTATAGTTTCTGTAATCGACTATCCACTAGCAACCCGCACAAGGATTGAGCGTTAATATTGAAAAAGCGGCTTCATCTCTTGACACAGAACAAGTTCTCATCAATATCACAATAAATAAGGCACAATGTTACTTTTATCAACATTAAGGCAAGAAAATAAAAATTAAACTGTTTTAGTTTATGTACGGTCTTATGCACACTGGGAACGTTTGGCAGATAAGAATGGGCATACTTTATTTGAATCCCCCTGGAGAAAATCAGGTGTCCAGTACAGCAAAAAAAAAACAATCATTACAAAAATGCTAACAATAGCAGAAACAGCCCTTCAGTCACAGCAGCAGAGGTGGAGTAGCCTCTGGGTGGAAGCTGGTACGGGTCAAAAGCAGCAGGGGATGGAGAAGCCGGGACAGGGTCACAAGGTGGAGTAGCCGCTTGGTTCATATGAAAAATAATAACTGATCCTCAAGCTCAATCTTAAATGTGACCCTTTGTCAATTTGGTAATTTTGTTTTTAAAGATTGCCATACCCGATTTATTTTCCTAATGGTGTTCAGCGAAAAAAATGGCGCCTCGTACCGGTCGACATGGCTCTTTGCTGCTCTCTTTTGGCTCTTTTGTTTTTACTTTTTAACTGTGCATCTGGCTGTTCCTACACCCGTGAGGAACTTATGAACATCCGACCCACCGTTCCCATGGACCTATTGCCTGTTTTCTTGGCATCTGCGGCTGATTTAGTTCATGTTCTAGCCAAAAAAGTGTGGGCCCGTAAAAGGGGAAAGCGAGGAGGCCTGCTCGTGCGTCTTAGGAGGAGAGGAGCGCGCACGGCTCTCCCCGGCATTTTTCTCTCCAACGTACGCTCACTGGGCAATAAGATGGACGAACTCAGCCTGCTCATGAGAAGAAACAAGGACTTCGCCACATCCTGTGTCCTCTGCTTCACTGAGACCTGGCTAAATGAGCGGATCCCGGACTGCGCTCTGGAGCTGCAGGGCTTTGGGCTGTTTCGCGCGGATCGCCATTGTGCGCTCTCAGGGAAGAGCAGGAGAGGGCTCTGTTTCTACACTCTGGATCACTGTTACACCACCGTGCGCGGAGCTTTTCGCGCTGTTCCCAAGCCAGCCCTCGGCTTCTCAGATCACTCCATGATACATCTGGTTCCTGCTTACAGACAGAGACTAAAGCTCTCGAAACCTGCAATGAGGAGCTCCAAAGTGTGGTCTGATGAAGCTGTGGAAGAGCTGCGCGCATGCATGGAATCTACAGACTGGGACCTTTTCAGAGCTGCCACAGATAGTTTGGATGAATATACGGACACTGTGACGTCATACATTCACTTCTGTGAGGATAGCATCATTCCAACAAGGACCAGGGTCATCTATAACAACGACAAACCCTGGTTCACTGCTAAACTCCGGCAGCTCAGGAAAGCAAAGGAGTCTGCTTTCAGGGAGGGGGACCGCAGCGGCTACAAAGCAGCTAAATATCAGTTCAGGAGAGAACTGAAAGCAGCCAAGTCCCGGCACAGAGAACGACTACAGGAGCAGTTTGGTAACAACGATACTGCTTCTGTCTGGAGGGGCCTACGGGAGATCACCAACTACAAGCCCAAAGCCCCCCCCTGTGCTGACGACCACAAGCTAGCTGACGATCTGAACTTATTTTTCAGTCGCTTTGATGCTGCCCCTGACACCTCTCCCTCCCCCACCCCCCACTACTCTAACGACCCACCCATCAGCCCTGCCCCCAGCCTAACAATAGCCGCTAAAGAGATTAAACAACTCTTCCTGAGGCTGCACCCCCGCAAAGCTCCTGGCCCGGACCACGTGTCTCCGGCCACTCTGAGACACTGCGCCAGTGAGCTTACTCCTGTGTTCACGGACATTTTCAACACCTCTCTGCAGTCCTGCCAGGTCCTGGCCTGCTTCAAATCCTCCATCATTGTCCCCGTCCCGAAGAAGCCCAGGATCACAGGACTCAACGACTACAGACCTGTAGCACTTACGTCTGTCGTCATGAAGTCATTTGAACGCCTGGTTCTCTCCCATCTCAAGTCCCTCACCTCCCCCCTCCTGGACCCCCTGCAGTTCGCCTACAGAGCCAACAGATCTGTAGACGACGCCATTAACCTGGCCCTCCACCACATCCTACAGCACCTGGACTCCCCGGGGACCTACGCCAGGGTCCTGTTTGTGGACTTCAGCTCTGCCTTCAACACAATCCTGCCATCCCTGCTCCAGGACAAGCTCTCCCAGCTCAACGTGCCCGATTCCACCTGCAGGTGGATCACTGACTTCCTGACGGACAGGAAGCAGCGAGTGCGTCTGGGGAAGAATGTCTCGGACTCTCGGATTATAAATACAGGAGCCCCACAGGGCTGTGTTCTTTCTCCCCTGCTCTTCTCCCTGTACACCAACCACTGCACCTCCAGCCACGACTCCGTGAAGCTGATCAAGTTCGCGGACGACACCACCCTCATTGGACTCATCTCCAACAACGATGAGTCAGCCTACAGGAGGGAGGTGGACCGGCTGGTGTCCTGGTGCTGTGGTTACAACCTGGAGCTGAACGCCCAGAAGACAGTGGAGATGATTGTGGACTTCAGGAAGAGCACTGTCCCCCCACCCCCACCCTCCGTGATGGACTCCCCCATCACCTCTGTGGAGTCCTTCCGTTTCCTGGGCACCACCATCACCCAGGACCTCAAGTGGGAGCCGACCATCAGCTCCCTCATCAAGAAGGCCCAGCAGAGGATGTACTTCCTGCGGCAGCTCAGGAAAGCCAAGCTGCCTGCACAGATGTTGGTGCAGTTCTACACGGCCATCATCGAGTCCATCCTCACCTCCTCCGTCACCGTGTGGTTCGCTGGAGCCACAGTCAGGGACAAACAGAGACTACAGCGCATTGTGCGCTCTGCAGAGGAAGTGATCGGCCGCAGTCTTCCATCGCTGCAGGACCTGTACGTCGCCCGAGCTCGAGGCCGGGCTGGTCGTATCACAGCCGACCCCTCTCACCTGAACATGGACTATTCCAACCACTCCCCTCAGGCAGGAGGCTGCGGTCCATCAGGACTAGAACCTCCCGCCACAAGAACAGTTTCTTCCCCTCTGCTGTTGGACTCTTGAACACTTCTTAACCTGTCCCCCCGCCCTTTATAAAGTCACTTTACTGCCCATCATACGTCACTTTACTTCACTGTACTGCTGTCACCTTACATTGTGTGCACCATGTGCACTTATATATTGTAAATAGTAACTGTAACTCTATTTTAAATTTAAATTTATTCTTTAGAAGTGTTTTTTATTCTTATTTTTATTATCTCTTTTTGACTGTTGCACTGAGCCAAAGCAATTTCCTAGTCTGTGACCTCCTGTAACTTACGTGGCAATAAAAATGATTCTGATTCTGATTCTGATTATAGTGTGTGTGTCTCTGTGATATCGATTGGCTGAATATTCCACATTATTTGGCCTCTCATTTACCGTGTCTTGCACCCAAATGTAATAAGTGAATTTTCTAAATGTTACTTCTTTTTTTGGTTTTGTACAATGGATGATACATTTGTTTATATTTCTACAGACTCTTCGTATGATGTTGTTCGGAGGACAGGATGGTCAAACAACATGCACAGCGGCAAAGGTACAATACTTCAAACAGTTTATTTGTGACTGACTAAAAATGATAAACTGTCTGTTGATTGTAAATCCTATCTTATATATTACACACATAAAAAGCTAATACTCAGTCCCAAACTGACCAGAATTCACAAGCAAATTTATTGTACTTTCATAGTCTTTGTCCTTACCCACAATCCTCTATGTTCAGCAGGATCTCCGGTCGTGCCTCAGAATGTGACCAAGTCCACAGAGCAGCCACGCGCACAGCCAGGTACTCACAACACTGTCTTTCACGCTAACACTGCTGCGAGTATGTAAATGAGTCTGATCCTCTCTGCTCACTGGGTTAATTAAGAGGTAAAAGTCCCTTTCCAAAGATGATGTAATTAAAAGTTTTATGGAAATTTTATGAGTTTAATTAATATTTTATACCATCAGGACGCTTGAGTAATTCACCCCATAGTTAGTCCAAGTAAAAGGCTTAATGTTGACAACTATTTTTTTTGTTATAGCAGTGAAATGAAAGGCATCATAAAAGTCAAACGTTTTTATTTCTTTATTTTTTTTATTGGATGTTTTTAAATATGCAAAATGTGGTTGATCAAGTTCTGTTTGTGAATATACATTTTAAATTGTTGAACAATATTTGTCCCTGTGTCATCTAAAGCCACGAATTCGGCCGACACTGACCGCGCTATGTATACTGATACACTGGATGTAATCTGTGAGGCAAGATCCTTGGAGAAATTGAGAGTGATCTGAGATTTGGATCCATATGAAAGGCGGCAACACCAGTGGACTTCGCAAGAAATGGCTTACTTTCACTTAACGGTTTTACAATTAAAAAAGGTCATGATGTATATGATGCAATATTTCTTCAAATCATTAATTTATTTTGAACGAAGCAGTCAATTTCACAGGCCGTAAATCACTGACCCAGAACCATACAAGCTTCTGTCTACCACCCTTTCCCCCCCCTTCTCCTCCTCCTCTAATTCATTTAGAGGAGATCGCTTGAGGCCCATATATACACTGAATCACAGTCAAATCGCAGCTCTGAATATAAACAGATTTAGCTTGCTCTTACCTGTTATGAAATGGTCAGAACAGACCTTATAGTGCAGTTTTTCAGGGGGTTAGGGTTGAATCACTCTCGGTTGATCCTCGCCAACTAAAGGTTTCCTCTCTCCGTCGAGAGTCAGTCCCCTGGCTCATAATAGCCTTCGGAATGTCCCCACAATCTGCACGGTTACTGCACCCCCAAAGTGCCATTGCAATCGTCATGTTTCCTTATACCATACTTTTGTTCTGACGGTTGCACCACTCTGCTACTTTAAAATGTAATTTCAGTTGCATAACTGGACTGCCACCTTAACGTGGTGGGGGAGTTTGAGTGATCCTGGGAGCTATGCTGTCTGGGGCTTCATGCCCCTGGTAGGGCCTCCCATGGCAGACAGGTCTCAGGTGACGAGTCAGACAAAGAGCAGTCCAGAAGACACCATGGACAGCACTTATACGAGATCAGTGACGTCGCCCGGCATGGCGCAGCCGGGGCCCCACCCTGGAGCCAGGCCTGGGGTCGGGGCTCGTATGCGAGCGCCTGGTGGCCGGGCCTTAGCCCACGGGGCCCGGCCGGGCTCAGCCCGAATGGACGACGTGGGCAGTCCCTCCTGTGGGCCCACCACCCGCAGAGGGGTCCGTGGTGGCGAAGCGGTGCAGAGAGGACTGGGCAGCGGTCGAAGGCGGAGACCTCGGCGACCCAGTCCGCACACACAACATCTGGCTCTTGGGACGTGGAACGTCACCTCACTGGGGGGGAAGGAGCCCGAGCTTGTGGGGGAGGTTGAGCGATACCGACTAGAGATAGTCGGCCTCACCTCCACACACAGCTTGGGCTCTGGAATCCAACTCCTTGAGAGGGGTTGGACGCTCCACTTTTCTGGAGTTCCCCGCGGGGAGAGGCGGCGAGCTGGGGTGGCCATTCTCATTGCCCCCCATCTCAGCCGCCACGTGTTGGAGTTCTCCCCGGTGAATGAGAGGGTCGCGTCCCTCCGCCTCCGGGTGGGGGACAAGTCTCTCATTGTTGTGACGGCCAGGGGCCTAACAGCAGTGCAGAGTACCCGGCCTTCTTGGAGTCCTTGGGAGGGGTACTGGACGGTGCACCGCCCGGGGACTCCGTTATTCTCCTGGGGGACTTCAACGCCCATGTGGGAAACGCCAGTGACACTTGGAGAGGGGTGATCGGGAAGAGCGGCCCCCCTGATCTGAACCCGAGCGGTGTTCAGTTGTTGGACTTCTGTGCCAGTCACAGTTTGTCCATCACGAACATCATGTTCGAGCACAAGGGTGTCCACCAGTGCACGTGGCACCAGGACACCCTAGGCCGGAGGTCGATGATCGACTTTGTTGTCGTATCATCTGACCTTCGACCGCGTGTCTCGGACACTCGGGTAAAGAGAGGGGCGGAGCTGTCAACCGATCATCACCTGGTCGTGAGTTGGATCCGCTGGCAGGGGAAGAAGCCGGTCAGACCTGGCAGACCCAAGCGTATAGTGAGGGTCTGCTGGGAACGTCTCGCTGAGCCCCCTGTCAGACGGACTTTCAACTCACACCTCCGGGAGAGTTTCTCCCAGGTCCCGGCGGAGGAGGGGGACATGGAGTCCGAGTGGACCATGTTCTCTGCCTCAATTGCCGATGCGGCGGCTCGTAGCTGTGGTCGCAAGGTCTCTGGTGCTGGTCCCGGCGGCAACCCCCGAACCCGGTGGTGGACACCGGCAGTAAGGGATACTGTCAGGCTGAAGAAGGAGTCCTATCGAGCCATGATGGTTCGGGGGACTCCTGAGGCAGCTGTCCAGTACCGGCAGGCCAAGCGTGCCGCGGCCCGGGCTGTTGCAGAGGCAAAAACCCGGGACTGGGAGGAGTTTGGAGAGTCCATGGAGCATGACTATCGGTCGGCCTCGAAGAGATTCTGGCAAACCATCCGGCGCCTCAGGAGGGGGAAGCAGTTCTTTGCCAACACCATGTACGGTGCGGGTGGAGAGCTGCTGACCTTGACTGGGGATATTGTCGGGCGGTGGAAGGAATACTTTGAGGTTCTCCTCAATCCCCCCGTCACGTCCTCTGTTTCAGAGGCAGAGGCTGAGGATGTTGGGGCGGATACATCCATCTCCCTGGCTGAGGTCACCAAGGTGGTTGGTAGCCTCCATGGTGGCAAGGCTCCGGGTGTGGATGAGATCCGCCCTGATTATCTAAAGTCTCTGGATGTTGTAGGACTGTCTTGGCTGACACGTCTCTGCAGCATCGCGTGGCGATCGGGGGCAGTGCCAATGGAGTGGCAGACCGGGGTGGTGGTCCCTCTCGACAAGAAGGGGGACCGGAGGGTGTGTTCCAATTATCGTGGGATCACACTCCTCAGCCTCCCCGGTAAGGTCTACTCCAAGGTACTGGAGAGGAGGCTACGGCCGATGGTCGAATCTCGGATCCAGGAGGAGCAGTGTGGTTTTCGTCCCGGTCGCGGAACACTGGACCAGCTCTATACTCTCCATCGGATACTCGAGGGTTCATGGGAGTTCGCCCAACCTGTCCACATGTGCTTTGTGGATTTGGAGAAGGCGTTCGACTGTGTTCCCCGGGGTGTCCTTTGGGGGGTTCTCCGGGAGTACGGGGTCGGGGGTCCTCTGCTGAGGGCCATCCGATCCCTGTATGACCGGAGCCAGAGCTGTGTTCGCATTGCCGGCAGTAAGTCAGACCTGTTCCCGGTGAATGTTGGCCTCCGACAGGGCTGCCCTTTGTCACCGGTTCTGTTCACTGTATTTATGGACAGAATATCTAGGCGCAGCCAGGGGTCGGAGGGGGTCCGGTTCGGAGACCACAGGATTTCATCTCTGCTGTTTGCGGACGATGTTGTCCTGTTGGCTCCAACGAACAGGACCTGCAGCATGCACTGGGACGGTTTGCAGCCGAGTGTGAAGCGGCTGGGATGAGAATCAGCACCTCCAAATCCGAGGCCATGGTGCTCGACCGGAAAAAGGTGCCTTGCCCTCTTCAGGTGGGTGGAGAGGTCCTTCCTCAAGTGGAGGAGTTCAAGTATCTCGGGGTCTTGTTCACGAGTGAGGGAAGAATGGAGTATGAGATTGACAGGCGGATCGGTGCAGCGTGCGCAGTGATGCGGTCGCTGTATCGGACCGTTGTGGTAAAGAGGGAGCTGAGCCGAAAGGCAAAGCTCTCGATTTACCGGTCAATCTTCGTTCCCTCCCTCACCTATGGTCATGAGCTTTGGGTAATTACCGAAAGAACGAGATCGCGGATACAAGCGGTCGAAATGAGCTTCCTCCGCAGAGTGGCTGGGCGCTCCCTTAGAGATAGGGTGAGGAGCTCAGTCACACGGGAGGAGCTCGGAGTAGAGCCGCTGCTTCTCCACGTCGAGAGGAACCAGTTGAGGTGGCTCGGGCATCTGTTCCGGATGCCTCCTGGACGCCTCCCTGGGGAGGTGTTCCGGGCACGTCCCACCGGGAGGAGGCCCCGCGGAAGACCTAGGACACGCTGGAGGGACTATGTCTCTCAGCTGGCCTGGGAACGCCTTGGGGTCCCCCCGGACGAGCTGGAGGAAGTGTGTGTGGATAGGGAAGTCTGGGCGTCTCTGCTTAGACTGCTGCCCCCGCGACCCGGCAACGGATAAAGCGGAATAAAATGGATGGATGGATGGAACTTTCTTAATATATATTTGTCAAATTCAAACCGTAAACTTTCATGTTTACTTCCGTTGGAGTTCCCCCAAATACTTCATCACTTTCACTTCTCACCGCTATTTTCAGTTTGAATAACCCTAACCGTGCACTTCCTTCGTCTTACTCATGTCACTCTGAAACGGCTTTTATCTATTCAATATTTATAATGGATAATGTACATTTCAGCTGCGATAAAAGGATATGAGATCTTTTGATGCTGTTTCACTTTTTGTATGATAAAAATACTGAATAATTCCCGGGGCATCAATGTGAATAGGATTTTGCTGTGAATGTTTTACCTGGTAAATGTTGAATGTCTCGTGCGTTCTCATCCTTATAGTTCTATGTTTCTTTCCACAGATCCATATCAGATTCTGGGCCCGACCAGTAGTCGCCTTGCTAATCCAGGTAATATTAATATACTTTATGTGGTGCCTTCTTGACTTCCTGGGTCAGTTTACAATTACAAAACAACAATTAAAGTTTGTGTTGTTATGTGGATGTGTTTATAGTATAATGTTATTTGCATTTTCCAGCCCTATTAAACACAATCAGGAACTGACAAACTATGAATGAGTATTGGCATTTGTGGTGTTATAACGAAAAAGAAAATTATGAAAATAAATAGTGAAAGTTTGATTTATTAAAAATATCTATAATATACATGTAAAAATTAGTATGAGTTATCATTAATAATAGTTAATTATTCTAAAAGTGTTGAGATATGACCATCAATTACTGTAAATTCATGACATTTTTATGTAATCCTAAATCACAACAACTGCCGATTTGCCAATAACAGATCAGACAAGAGTTCAAACACAGTGAACTCTGCCCTTAGACAGTGAACTCTGTCCTTAGAGTTCACTGTCTAAGGACAGTGAACTCTTGTCTAAGGACAGGAGTTCACTGTCCTTAGATCCTCCTGCACCGGCATGAAACAACTCAAAAAAGACATAACAGAGAGATTGTAAAGGAAAACACAAGCACTCTTCTTCAGCAGAGCACACAGTCCTTCTCTGCGAGGGCTAGATGCTAACTACTAACTGTGCTAACTGTATGCACTGTTTGTCACAGGCTCAGGTCAGATCCAGTTGTGGCAGTTCTTGCTGGAGCTCCTGTCGGACAGCGCCAACGCGGGCTGCATTACCTGGGAGGGCACCAACGGCGAGTTCAAGATGACCGACCCGGACGAGGTGGCGCGACGCTGGGGGGAGCGCAAGAGCAAACCCAACATGAACTATGATAAGCTGAGCCGTGCACTGCGCTACTACTACGACAAAAACATCATGACCAAAGTGCACGGCAAGCGCTACGCCTACAAGTTTGACTTTCACGGCATCGCACAGGCCCTACAGCCACACCCCACCGAGTCCTCAATGTACAAGTATCCCTCAGACCTGGCCTACGTGCCGTCGTACCACGCGCACCAGCAGAAGGTAAACTTTGTCTCCCCACATCCCCCCTCCATGCCAGTCACTTCCTCTAACTTTTTCGGACCCACTGCGCCGTACTGGAGCTCGCCCACAGCCGGCATCTACCCCAACCCCAACGTCCCGCGGCATCCCAACACCCACATGCCCTCCCACCTGGGCACCTACTATTGAAGCAGCACCACTGCTTCTTTACCTGCACTCCACACGATGCCGATCTCATGAAGTTCACAGAAGAGGTGTGGCCTCCAACGCCAAGTGAAGGATTTTTAAGTTGTTTTTTTTTTTTTTTTTACTTGTAAAAACTGGATCCCGCAGTCCAAAATGGAATACTACTTACTTACTTCTAAAAGACTGATTTGCTATTTTGCTGTCTGTGCCTAAAGCTAAAGCTCAAGCTGAAGCATTTGATGAGGTCTTGCTGTCAGACATAGGCCTGTGCCTTATGGGTCTTAATACATTCTCCATTACGATGTACATTATGCTTTGTACTGCATTAGCTAATCTCCACTGAGTTCATCATGAATTCTCTTCCCATCAAAGTTTTATTTCTCTTGAGGTTTATCCACCTGTTTTTGTTTTGTGTGAATTTTCTACTTTCATGGAGAAATTTGTGATGTCATTTTCATGAACCTTTTTCAGCACTGAATTTTGAAATTGGCAACTGGAATATGCCATTCATTTGATATATTTTATCCTCCAAACTGGAACCCTCGAGAGTCAGATGCCATAAGAAAGCGCTGTATGAGTGGCGGGCCCAGAGGTCTGCAGTGTTATGGAGGGCTGTTGTAGACAGTTGTCTCTTGTGCACTAAAAGAAAAAGCAAGATGTAATTGAAGTCATTTGCAATAATAATTCAGCCCAGGTCTGTTGTTTTCAGAGGCCACACATGAGGCTCTGGCTGTTTTGCTTTTCAGACATGCTGTCTCCAGATGTGTTAGCTCAGCCATGTCAGTATTAATGTGAATGTATTTTGGATCGTCAAACATGAGGCAGGTGTTCACATTTGTAAGTCATATTTTTATGAACAAATACAGACTAAATGAAAAGCACTGTTTAGTGACGTAGGTGGTGAAGTGCCTTACCGTGCCAGTCCATTCATGTTTTACAAGTGCCAGCAAACAGGGCCAGGATGTATGCGCCACACATTAACAGCAAGAAGTAATCCTATTACACTAGCACACTATGCCTTAGAGTTTGATCTGACAATGTCTGATTTAGAAGAGCTCTATGACCCATAGCTGTCAGCCTCTGAATGTCAGCCATTGAGAACCACAGTTAAACCAAAGAAAATCCTCCTTTTTCTATAGGGCTGGCTCCCAGTGTGTGTTTGAATGTTAGTTTCCCACTGACGAGGAGCCAAGTAAATGCATGTGAAACTGATGAAGGATTTTTCAGGAAGTCTCAGTATTAAAAACATATCCATGTGTTCAAAGCTGTATTTCCAAAGCATTTATGCAAGAATAGACACTTGAAAATGCATGACTTTGGGCAAAGTTTATCAGAACAAATCCATGAAGTATAAAGTGAAACAGATTCGCAAACGCTGTGCGTTTGTCAGAAGTATTTTTTATTATTATATGAGCATCAGTCAACTAGGCATTAAAGCAACTTACTGTATAAATTATGCAGAGTTATTTTCATATGTGACAGTATTAAAAGTCATGAGAAGTATTACGAGTTGACCTCGGTCAAAAATGACATATTTTAGTCAATTTTTGCGAAGTTTGATTAACAATTTAGGCATTTTATATGTGTACATTTGGGCGACTCGTTTTGAAGTCTTTTCTCTTTTAAACTATTTGTTTTTCTTAAATTCAAGTTATTACACCTAAAGTGCATTTAAGAGCACAAGATATTAACCAGCATCCTCCATTTGCTGATCTGTGTCTCCAGAGCTCTGGAGCAGGTGGATCATCAGGTATTGTGCCATACAATCAATACATATTCACAACATCTTTGGAATCTAGTATAGGTTTAAATACTCTGTAAAATAAATATGTATTTTGTAGCATTGAGGGAATTTGTGCGGTATGTGCCATCATCTTCCTTTTTCACCTGCAGTATTAATTAAAAGGGACTTGTGCTACTTCATATATGCAATGTAATTTGGATATTAAAGTATATTATGTAAATCTATATGTGTATAATTCACAAATAACCATGGGTAATTAGTATTGTCATTCCTGAAATGTATGAAGTATTACCTTTTGAAAAAGGGACTTTTGTATAGAAAACAATGTGACAAAATAAATGTTTTTACCTCTATTGATTGTGATTATAGTTCTTTCAGGTATGTCCCGAGTGCATGGGAGGTTATACTGTTGTGGTTAAAGCAGAGTTCTGGTTTCATGTTCAGAGTGTTGTTGGTGACCACAGCGGCGCGTGGCAGTCCTCTTGTCTCTGTTGTGTGTGACATCTTCACATGTTTATGGATAAGGGCCGGCACCTGTCCGAATCATCCTCTGACCTATACATGTAGATCTCACATAACAATGACACAGAGCAAATGTTTTAATACAAAGTTTAATGTCAAGCATGTTTTACCCTGAGAACACAGATGAAAAATAACAATAAACAAAAGTCATACCCAGAAGAGATTTAAGAGTTTCTCCTCTGTGTCTTCTCAGACATGGCTGATCCCTGAGCTAACCTCCTGCCTCTGAGACCGCATACTTCAATTCTATCTCTCGCAGAGCACTTCATACTGCTATGTATTATTAAGAAGGCACTTTATTTCCCCTTAGCCCAGGCTAAAGCATGGTCCATTACTGCCCCATCAAGAATTAGACAGAATCAATTTGTTTACATGTGTTTCCACATTAACGCTCAAGTGCTAGAAGTGAATTAAAGGCATAAGTCTCTCAATTTAAAGTTGATTGTTTTTTCTTGCAATTTCACTTACAACTGCACATACCCACGTGACCCCATTGAAACAGGTTCCTGGTCAGCCAACAGTAACAGGTGTGGTTTTGCATAAATGCAGAAGTTCACAAAGACAGCCTGACTTCAGCCTGTTGACTGTGCTCAACACAATAGAATATCCATCCAAGCACAGTGTATGCAGAGACCTCTGCTCCTGTGTGTCTTCACATTCATTTTACTCCCTTCAAAGAAAGAGCTGAAAAAGAGTGTTCTCTAGACTCTAAAGTCACATTTTGGTGACACTCAGGGGGTCAGAAATCTCTATAACTTCAAAGCCAGGGTTGTCGTTTCCGAACTTAGAGAAGTGATGGTGCCCCTTGATGTTGTGGAAGCAGTAGGCGCAGTGCGCTGTGGCCACAGGCACCACTTTATGGAAGTTGGAGAAGTCCACTCTGTATTTGCCGTCTTTGCTCCTGGAGATGATGGGCTGGAAGTTGTATCCCCACATAATTTCCTGTGGGATGAAAGAGGTGCGCACTTGACACGCTGAGCTGGTTGACTCAGCGGTCCCGTCCAGGAAGACCACCAGCTCAAACTCCTGTTTGTGCAGCGTGTCCACGGCCATCTCAAAGAAGGGGCTTCCCTTGTCTATGATATGGTACAGAGTCAGAGGGCACACAAAGAAGAGGTTGTCTTTACCTGCATCCATTGCAAACTCAATGTTGACCTGGTCCATGATAATCGTCTCTCCGTCTGGAGTGTTTCTTGTGCGTAGAAGTTTTCCATAGATCTGACTTCCGATCATCAAGGACTTGCGGAGATTTGCCACTCGGATAGACAGGCACAGAGCATCGTTTTTAGGACTGATCACAGCCATGTCACAGAAGTGGATAGTCTTTGCTCTCTTTTTGGGTAATGATATCTTTGCCAGAATGACTCCACACATGAAACAGTTGATGATGGCTCCAATTAGGGACTGAATGATGATCACAGCCACTGCCCCGGCACAGTGAGGGGTGATGGCTCTGCCACCATAGCCAATAGTGGTCTGAGTTTCCAGTGAGAATAAAAAGGCTGTGGTGAGTCCTACTACATTATACACACAGGGTGTGTGCTCCTCATCTCGCTCCTGCCAGGATAAGTCCATGTTATTACGGGCAATCCAAAACCAGATCAGGCCAAAGATGAACCAACTCAGGGTGAACGAGGCGATGAAGAAGAGCAGAACAAAACGCCACCTGATCTCAACAGCAGTGGTCCAAAAGTCAGCCAGGAAGGACAAGTGGCTGCTGTATTTGATGTTCCCATATTCAATGTTGCAGTGTCCGTCTTTTGTCACTAATCTGGTTCGGCGGCATTTGCGCTCGCTCAGGTAGTCCTGGAGACGCTGGTGCAGTGATCCACACATCTTCACGCCAACACCTAAAACAACCACACTTATGTAAGAATATGCTCTTACAACAATACAGTACAACAAAGAATTAGCATATCAATGTACCCCTCCTCCAAATGAACTTGAACATCACCAGAAACCAAAGCAAAAACAGAACAAATTGAATTAAACTCAATGTAGAAATGTAAACTATGTATATTTCTGATTTGCTAGTGCATGTTATAAATACTATTGCGTCAAAAGAACATGACATACTAACATTGTGCTTAGTTGATTTGTCTTGCATAATTCCGCCCTGACATTTCAATGATTTTCAAGGTTAAAACACATTTGTCAGCAAGTGTTCATTCGAGCAACAAGATACACACAGGAGTAATTAAAGTTGTTGAGTTTAGTTGGACGTCTCTTTAAAGTCTTCAATAAAGGAAAAGTTCTTGTTTTAATAAAGTGGATTGGATAGGATTGGATAGAAAGATAAATGGCTTAAAGATTGTGAAACCTCTTGGGGAAAATGTATTTTTAAGGTTAAAGCAAAATGCAGCTTCAGCTTCTGAAATTAGAAATTCTAGCTATATCTTGTTTCAACCCATAAAGTTAAGTGGTATTTATATTTACAGGGACAGTGTAGAATAAAAAAGAGCCAAAAGAACAGATGCATGGTACTTGGTTATAACAGTAGTGCATAATTTACACCTGGTACTTGACCTCATGCATGCATTATGTAAAAAAAAGTTACAATATATTTTTAACATACATGTTATTATATAGAGCTACCCAGACCTCCATTCTTTAATTTCGCTCCAAATCTCTGTATATTTTTCATTGCTACGATTAAGATTCAGATGACAGAAAAGAATGAGTAGCACACAGCACTCATAAGCAAAAAATAACTAATACATGAAAAATTGCTAAGTCAAGCATGAAGAAAAAATAAGTATATAATCTCTACCTTTGGCTTAATAAGAAGCAAGTATAAAGTACTATGTATTCTAGTGCAAGTAATATATACAGCACATTTCTTTAAAAATGAAAGATTCTGCGTTCTGATTATAAATACATGTTTAATAATTGCAATAAAAAATGTTGTTTTAGTTGGTTTTGGTGTTTAGTTTGTAAGATGCAGGTCAGAGTTGTGGACTCACCTGTCTATTCCAGCGCTGAACTGACTGGGATGCCGTCTGCGGTCAGCTCCCTCCCTGTGTTACAAATGGGATGATTTTAGGTGTGTCCTCCTCCTTTATGGCCGCTCAGAACATCCGATGCTGTTGTCATGTGAAGCATCCAGGTGATGTTTACACCCACAGAAGCATGCAAGTACCCCCCACACATCACCCCACCCCCTCCTCCTCCTCAGTGTTTACCCCACACACGCCTGGCACAAGCGGTCACCGTGACCCGGCCCGCATGGCACTGGGCATTCCTTCGTAAGACTGTTTGGACTTTAAACCAGCTCATATTTTCATGTTTAGGATGCATAAGGGTAGCAGAGTCAATGGGTCTGAAACTCAGGGATGGTTTATGCACACAAGCAAGTGAATGATGCTTTCTGACATTTTGTATCTCGGGTGACCTAATTTTTATTATTTTTTTATTTAATCCTGACGTATAATGTATGCTTATTTTTATGATTATTATTGTTTTTGTGTGATGTCTTTCTTATATGGACATTATGTCTGTAATACAGTTTAATAATATAATGTAATATGCTCAAACAAAACCCATTTAACACAATAATAATAACAATAATACGGGCGGCACTGTGGCTGAGTGGATAGCACTCTCGCCTCTCAGCAAGAAGGTCCTGGGTTCGAATCCCGGTCGGACCAGGGCCTTTCTGAGTGGAGTTTGCATGTTCTCCCCGTGTCTGCGTAGGTTTCCTCCGGGTACTCCGGTTTCCCCTACCACTAAAAATATGTCCAATAGGCATGTCTGGCATGCGCCTCCTGTACTGGCGACCCCGCTCCCATCTCTGTGTGGAGTGAGAGACAAATACCCATAATTAACAATTGTAAACCGCTTTGAGACTCAGATCTGCAGTGAAAAGGCGGTATATAAATAAAGATTACTACTAATACAAATGTAAAAGCAAGAAATTAAAATCAGCAACGCACACATAATAAAAGTCTAATTTAAAACCAACAATTTAAAAAACACTGTACAAGATTAGTGTTATATTTGTTGTCTTAAAGAGAACCTTTATTCATCCCACAATGGAGAAATGTCAACAATACCATAACGCTATGTGACGCAATTTATTTATTTATTGGATAAGGAACAGGTGCACACAACAACATATGAAACACTACGCTACACCACAATGTAAACACACTGTTTAGACAATTGAATGTGTGATCATATAGAACTAAAACCATTTTACAACACTGACATATCCTGTTTAAAGGGATACCCCCAGTGGACATAACCTACAGAAAATAAAACCAGGTTGTAGAAAAAGAAACAACTATAAGTTCTAGATCCAAAACAGATAGACCACAACAGAAACACCATCAATCCATGAGCAGAGAAAGCAGAGAGAAGAAACTGTGCAGTGCAGACTCATTTTCAAACCTTTTGTCAAATGGTAAAAAAGTAGAGTTTAAAGTTAGTCCTTTCAGACACCTCTGTTTTACTACAGCTGCTGACACACAATACACCATCTGAAATATATAGAAAGCAATGTATTCTGTCTGCACCAAGCTACAAACATTATATTGACTACGACAAAATACTAACGTTTTGTATGAAGATAATAATTGTTGCATTCTTGATTATGTTTGCACTTTTGACGAATAATAGAAAACAAAAATACCGAATTACCCTATAGCCACATGAGCCAGTTCTTTGTGTCGTGGTGGTTGTAGAAGAAGTGGAATTGCCCCTTTCCCTTTGAAATATTATGTTGAAATATGAGTGGGTTCCCTCCTTTGAGAGAGTGAATGTAAGACGTGCGGATTAGTGGAAGAAGAATAAGTCTTTAATAAGTGCATGTATAGACAAAGGCACTCTCCCTGTGAACGAGTGCAGTCCATTCATTTTCAGAGACGGTTTCACTTCAGAGCGCAAGGCCTAAGAGATACCATACTAACAATAACTATTTCCCCCAATTGTATACATATATATATTTGTATATTGAATCTGAATCTTTTGTTATGTGTCCCCAGATAACCAGTCAACATGTACAAAAGTCCAAAGTGGAGTTATTCCTAATTAATTATACAATATAATATTTATGTTTGAGGTTTTCAAGTCTCAATAAAGTGAAAGACTAGAATCATTCTCTAATTTTTTTTTTTACAGATTTACAAACCAAAACGTTGGTCACACAAAAGCAGGAACAAATAATCAGCATTAATTCACAACTCGCTGCATTTGTACCCTTTCTAGCTAAGGCCTGGTAGGTGGATTGCATCAGTAATCAGTGATGAGAAGCTACATGTGTCACAAGCTGTAAGATTCCAGCAACAAAACTTGGGTTGTAATAGTAATATATCCTTATATTTGTGCATATTACATAATGTATAGGGTCTCTTTGACAAGCCGAATAAAATCTACATTTACCACATGTTTGTTACAGATGACTATGAATGTAATATTTTCCTTTTCATTGATTCCTTATACTTCAAACACTTGCATAGTGTGAGTTAGTACAGCCACACACATATTGAGCCCCGTTCTGCTGGGTCATCCTGTCGCATCATTCATATTCCACTTCCATCACTGTGGTGTGAAATGGCAGAGCTCAAAATGCCAGCCTCTGCAAACATACTTGTACAGCAATAACCTTGTGTAAGAGGCAACCAGAAAGACAGGACAAAGAAAGAGCCGCAGAGATCCCTGGATAATGCGGTGGACAAAAAGCACCACTCCAACACTGGTGGAAAATTACTGAAGGCTGCAGCTTTAGAGCCAGAGATAGAGATAACCTGAAACTGTAAATCCAGTATTGATGCTTTTGTTTGTTATGCGCATATCAATACACATGCGTGTGGCAGAGAGAGAGAGGAGGGGGTTTGCTAACAGAGTGGGGAAAATTCCACTTCTCAAACTCACCACAAGCTGGTTACAAGTGAAAAAGTAATAATAATCATCGTAAAAGTTTAATTACGGAGTTCAGTTACACCCACCACATGCTTTCGCCTTTCAAAACTTTATGATCCTCGGTTGTCTTGACAGTTTGCATAAATATCAGATTATTTTGCTTTTCTGAGAAGTATATGTCAGTTGGAAATGCCCTATATGGACAAGTGTTGAAAATTACTATGGTCTTGCTATAACACTTTTATCAAATAAATATATGAATAAATAAATGAATAAAATAAAAAATAAAAAAATAAAAAAAGAGTTGTAAAACATGGTATGATGGCTCCAACCAGCCAAGCAACAACAATACATAACTGTTTTAATAAGATTATTTATATAATTAAAGTATTTCTATAAAGATGTGTATTATTTGTTTATTTGTTTGTTTGTTCTACTCATTTTTAATTAACTTAAAACGCGTCTGCGTACTATACATTATCCCGCTTATTATACGGCTTTGTACCAATAGAACACACAAAATAAACTTCAGTCCACTTTTAGGAATGCCAAAAGGTTTATTTGATAACAGAAAATAAAATAGTTCCCAAAGGCTTTCCCGTGGCTATGCGAGTAACACTTAGGCTAGCAACTTCCAAACTAGAACTCTCTGGAACTGCATGAAAACTGAACAAAGAATTCGGAACATCAGCGGTGAGTGACCCAAACATAAACTCAACTTAAATCCATAAATCTGATCCTCTGCAAATTTTCCTAAAATGTCCCGGAATCTAACCCCGGGTTTTTTGCGATCGCTTTTTCTTGCATTAAAACAGTATTTTTGTCAGGAAAACCTTGACAGATACTTCTGAAAACCTCTGTGCATGCGTGTTAAGAATATATATATGTATAATTTATTCTCCGATTAACATTTAAATGTGTTGATTGATTGGTATTTGCGTTTATCGAGCGTGGCCAGCTCCGGAGTGGCAGGAACTACTCGCGGAGTAATCTACACGTATCTGAATTACAAGCAGAGGGCAGCGGTCATTATTGTTTTGAGAGCTCAGTTATCAAGAAATTATGACCGGTAGAACGTTTTGGAATTACACTAAAATCAATGGAGCGTTCTACTGCTGCTGTGAGGAGACGTGTAATAAATGTGGTTATTTTATTTTTCTTGACATTGTTTGTGTGCTTGGAAAAAAATAATTCTTCCATCACATATTTCCACTTGAATCTTTCAGGAGGTCAGAGCATCTCAGCGCCTGGAGATACTACTGTCGACTACACAGCCAGACTGACAATGTAAACCACTATACCACATATACTAACAATACATACGTATAAAGTATATGGAAACACATGATTTAATAGTAATAAAGATGTATCAAAATCACAGACAAAGTTCAGAACAAAGCTTTGATCATCTCTGAAAAGGTTTTAATTCTTTTTTTTTTTTTTTGCTGCTGTCATAAACACATTTCCAAACACAACAGGTGCTTTGGAAATGTCAGCCGATTGTAGAGTTTGTCTCCTCTTCCTCGCTCATACTAGGTTAGTGCACTGTCAATATTTAATCGCACCATATATTTAATGGCTGGCTTAACATACATATTGGGATTTCCTTTGACATTTGAGTGCAAAGGAAAAAAACGGATGACTACCGACCTAAATTATGCATTTTGAGATAACAAGGCTTGGAGTGCACGGTAGATTTTCACACTCTCGCAATTCATAATTTAAAATATAATAAATGTTTTCTGCTCCGTGTTCAGAGTCAAAAAAAAGAAAAAACCAGGACAGCATTTTCTCGTAATTTTGACTGAATTTAAGGCAAGGCAAGGCAAGGCAAGTTTATTTATATAGCACAATTCATACACAAGGCAATTCAAAGTGCTGAACAAAACAAAAAATAAATAATCACAGAACATTAAAAAGAAAGATACAAATATAAAATCCCTCAGTTGTATGCACAGTTAAACAGAACTGTCTTTAACCTGGTTTTAAACTTTGTCAGAGAGGAGGCCTGTCTCACATCTTCAGGAAGATTGTTCCAGATTTTAGCAGCATGAATCTGAAAAGCAGCCTCTTCATGTTTAGTTCTGACTCTGGGCACTAACAGGAGTCCAGTCCCTGTGCTCCTCAGAGTCCGGGCTGGTTCATATGGGACTAACATGTCACTAATATATTTTGGTGCGAGGCTATGGAGAGACTTGTACACAAGCAGAGCTATTTTAAAGTCTATTCTCTGAGCCACAGGAAGCCAGTGCAGAGACCTGAGAACTGGACTAATGTGGTCGTACTTCCTGGTTCTAGTCAGGACTCGAGCTGCTGCATTTTGAATGTACTGCAGCTGTTTTACAGCCTGTTTGGACAGACCTGTGAGCAGGCCATTGCAGTAGTC